GGCGTTTTTCCTATTTAGTTGCATTACAACCTGTAATTTAAATGGATCTTCATTTGGATTTCATGTAATGGACATACACAAAATAGTCCAAATTGGTGAAGTGAAATGAAAAAAATAACTTATTTCAAAAAATTCAAAAGAATAAATTTCGGAAAAGTGGTGCGTGCATATGTATTCACCACCTTTGCTATGAAGCCCCTAAATAATATCTGGTGCAACCAATTACCTTCAGAAGTCACATAATTAGTTAAATAAAGTCCACCTGTGTGCAATCTAAGTGTCACATGATCTCAGTATACAGTGGGGCAAAAAAGTATTTAGTCAGCCACTATTTGTGCAAGTTCTCCCACTTAAAAAGATGAGAGAGGCCTGTAATTTTCATCATAGGTACACGTCAACTATGAAAGACAAATTGAGATAAAAAAATCCAGAAAATCACATTGTAGGATTTTTTATGAATTTATTTGCAAATTATGGTGGAAAATAAGTATTTGGTCACCTACAAAGAAGCAAGATTTCTGGCTCTCACAGACCTGTAACTTCTTCTTTAAGAGGCTCCTCTGTCCTCCACTCGTTACCTGTATTAATGGCATCTGTTTGAACTTGTTATCAGTATAAAAGACACCTGTCCACAACCTCAAACAGTCACACTCCAAACTCCACTATGGCCAAGACCAAAGAGCTGACAAAGGACACCAGAAACAAAATTGTAGACCTGCACCAGGCTGGGAAGACTGAATCTGCAATAGGTAAGCAGCTTGGTTTGAAGAAATCAACTGTGGGAGCAATTATTAGGAAATGGAAGACATACAAGACCACTGATAATCTCCCTCGATCTGGGGCTCCACGCAAGATCTCACCCCGTAGGGTCAAAATGATCACAAGAACGGTGAGCAAAAATCCCAGAACCACACGGGGGGACCTAGTGAATGACCTGCAGAGAGCTGGGACCAAAGTAACAAAGCCTACCATCAGTAACACACTACGCCGCCAGGGACTCAAATCCTGCAGTGCAAGACGTGTCCGCCTGCTTAAGCCAGTAAATGTCCAGGCCTGTCTGAAGTTTGCTAGAGTGCATTTGGATGATCCAGAAGAGGATTGGGAGAATGTCATATGGTCAGATGAAACCAAAATATAACTTTTTGGTAAAAACTCAACTCGTCGTGTTTGGAGGACAAAGAATGCTGAGTTGCATCCAAAGAACACCATACCTACTGTGAAGTATGGGGGTGGAAACATCATGCTTTGGGGCTGTTTTTCTGCAAAGGGACCAGGACGACTGATCCGTGTAAAGGAACGAATGAATGGGGCCATGTATCGTGAGATTTTGAGTGAAAACCTCCTTCCATCAGCAAGGGCATTGAAGATGAAACGTGGCTGGGTCTTTCAGCATGACAATGATCCCAAACACACCGCCCGGGCAATGAAGGAGTGGCTTCGTAAGAAGCATTTCAAGGTCCTGGAGTGGCCTAGCCAGTCTCCTGATCTCAACCCCATAGAAAATCTTTGGAGGGAGTTGAAAGTCTGTGTTGCCCAGCGACAGCCCCAAAACATCACTGCTCTAGAGGAGATCTGCATGGAGGAATGGGCCAAAATACCAGCAACAGTGTGTGAAAACCTTGTGAAGACTTACAGAAAACGTTTGACCTGTGTCATTGCCAACAAAGGGTATATAACAAAGTATTGAGAAACTTTTGTTATTGACCAAATACTTATTTTCCACCATAATTTGCAAATAAATTCATAAAAAATCCTACAATGTGATTTTCTGGATTTTTTTTCTCATTTTGTCTGTCATAGTTGACGTGTACCTATGATGAAAATTACAGGCCTCTCTCATCTTTTTAAGTGGGAGAACTTGCACAATTGGTGGCTGATTAAATACTTTTTTCCCCCACTGTATATACAACTGTTCTGAAAGGCCCCAGAGTCTGCAACACCACTAAGCAAGGGGCACCACCAAGCAAGCGGCACCATGAAGACCAAGGAGCTCTGCAAACAGGTCAGGGACAAAGTTGTGGAGAAGTACAGATCAGGGTTGGGTTATAAAAAATTATCTGAAACTTTGAAGAATCCACGGACACCATTAAATCAATTAAATCAATCAGCAATTATAAAAAAATTGAAAGAATATGGCACCACGACAAACCTGCCAAGAGAGGGCCACCCACCAAAACTCACGGACCAGACAAGGAGGGCATTAATCAGAGAGGCAACAAAGAGACCAAAGATAACCCTGAAGGAGCTGCAAAGCTCCACAGCTGAGATTGGGGTATCTGTCCATAGGACCACTTTAAGCCGTACACTCCACAGAGCTGGGCTTTACAGAAGAGTGGCCAGAAAAAAGTCATTGCTTAAAGAAAAAAATAAGTAAACACGTTTGGTGTTTGCCAAAAGGCATGTGGGAGACTCCCCAAACATATGGAAGAAGGTACTCTGTTTAGATGAGACTAAAATTGAGCTTTTTGGCCATCAAGGAAAACGCTATGTCTGGCGCAAACCCAACACCTCTCATCACCCCGAGAACACCATCCCCACAGTGAAGCATGGTGGTGTCAGCATCATGCTGTGGGGATGTTTTTCATCGGCAGGGACTGGGAAACTGGTCAGAATTGAAGGAATGATGGATGGCGCTAAATACAGGGAAATGCTTGAGGGAAACCTGTTTCAGTCTTCCAGAGATTTGAGACTGGGACGGAGGTTCAGCTTCCAGCAGGACAATGACCCTAAACATACTTCTAAAGCAACACTTGAGTGGTTTAAGGGGAAACATGTAAATGTCTTGGAATAGCCTAGTCAGAGCCCAGACCTCAATCCATTTGAGAATCTGTGGTATGACTTAAAGATTGCTGTACACCAGCGGAACCCATGCAACTTGATGGAGTTGGAGCAGTTTTGCCAAGAAGAATGGGCAAAAATCCCAGTGGCTAGATGTGCCAAGTTTATAGAGACATACCCCAAGAGACATGCAGCTGTAATTGCTGCAAAAGGTGGCTCTACAAAGTATTGACTTTGGGGGGGGTGAATAGTTATGCGCGCTCAAGTGTTCTTATTTCTTTTTTGTTTCGCCCCAAAAAATATTTTGCATCTTCAAAGTGGTATGCATGTTGTGTAAATAAAATGATACAAACCCCCATAAAATCAATTTGAATTCCAGGTTGTAAGGCAACAAAATAGGAAAAATGCCAAGGGGTGTGAATACTTATCACCAATGCAATTTTGCAAAGTGGATCACAGTGAAACTGTCAGTCATCCTAGCAACCAGCAAGCTTAAGGATCTATGTCAGTCATCCCTAGCAACGAGCCCACACCCCACACTACAGGCATACAAATGGTATTGCAACGCCAGGGTTGTGGGTTCGATTCCCACGGGAGACCAGTATGAAATAAGTATGAAAATGTATGCACTCGCTACTGTAAGTCTCTCTGGATTAGACCGTCTGCTAAAATGACAAAAATGTAATTGACATACGATAATGATAACAGCTATTTACTGTATGCCAGGTATTGTATTTGACAGCTGCCAGATAGATTGTGTTTGTTAGTGTAGTCGCGTGGGGCTGAAGCCATCTGCTCATCCATCCCCATCCCCATGACCTTCATCTGTCTTCCAGGCCTCTTCACTCAACCAGACTACCACACTACTAGGATCTTAATTTGAGACAGTTTGCTACAGCAGGAAAATAATCCTGCAGCAACAGGAAATGTGAATCATTATGGTGATTATAACTAATGGACATTTCTTGTAGGGGTTGATACATTTTTCATTAGGGCAAATAATGTATGACATTTTAAAGTGGAAATTACAAACTTTAGAAGCATTTCTATACCTTGAATACACTATTTGCATATCCTGCTGTGCAGGAAAATTCTCAGCAACAAGAGTGATCAAATTAAAATCCCACATCTATCTGTAGCCAAGCCTTGTTTACAGAGCCTTTTGCTCTATAACAAATACCAATGTTTCTCCCTGTCTTTAAGGCTGACATATTCCCAGTTTGTACCTGGCATAATTTCCTCTGCACAGTCAAGGGAGAAGTAAGCTTGATGGTGGTAATGCATTTAAAGTAGCATTTATAAATTATAAATACATTGCAGGTGCCACATTAGATAGATGTCTTTCCATCAAGTCTCTGCCCGTGCCACTAGTGATGGAATACACCACCTATGACCGTGAGAGCTCCTTGTGGCTCATCCAGCACAGTCTGGAGAACCAATCAATCAACCGCACAGATTCACACAGTAGCCCTGAACCCCCAATTCAGACTAAACTCTGGAAACCATAACTGCTGCGTTATGACCTTGTTTGCATAATGAAGTGGTCGTTATGATTCTACTATAGCAGTTGTAAAAGGCGTTAAGGGAAAACCCTTAATGGAGTACAGTAGCTATTTTCAACTTAATGTAGGAGGTGGAGTTGGCATTCCCTTAGGGAAAGTTATTTGGTCTACTGTAGGTGCAAGAAATGTATTCCTTTGTGGACTATTAAAATATAATTGACATGTATCAACTACCGGTCACTTTTTAACTGAAAACGCTCTTCTCAGAAGTGTACTTCATTACTTTTTGCACTTTCCTGTTACCCCTGCGGACTGTAAACTTTTAACTGCCTTCCGATGAGTAATGCATTCCATTTATTATAGCACCATAGTCCATAATGATAATAACTCACAATCTGCATGTTGATTAGTTGCTATTTATGCTGGTTATGACTGCTGCAATGCCCCATGGGAGTAGTCTGCTCTAACCACCGCTGCTTATGAATTAGATTTCCGCCACATTACATCTGCATATTATAGAACAATAATAAGTAGGAACATTAGGGTGAATGTTATATTATATGATTAGAACGTTTCATAAGTGATTGCGTCTGGCCAGGCTGATGTAATGACTGTGATTGAGTGACTGTGGTGGTCAGTAGGTAGGTTGGGGAACTGTGTGACAGAGTGCTATGCCTGCAGACTCTAAAGGGTGGATGAATGGGGGTACACTCATACAGTATGGGGTTGTCGTGGGCAGAGATGGATGGGACCGTGTGGGAGAGCCATGGGCGGAGGTGTTTCTTTGAGATTGTGGGGGGATCGGAATGGAGGGGTGGGGAGAAGGATCCCTGCCACGAAGGAGTGAATACAGATTGTCCCTGCAGTTAACAAACAACCTCCCTTCCTCCATCCCTACCTACTTCCATAAGGACAAACGACAGAGGCAGCCATTAATCTCTGAAGTCGAAATAGGGACAGAAATTGCTACTCCATTCTGCTTTGGTAGTGACAGGTGCTATGGTGCTATAGCATCCTGTCTGGCTGGCCTTGAGTAACTCCCAATGCCGTCTCTGAGCGTCAAGTGTGTTAACAAGGACAGGTTAACGGGTTCATTCTACAGGGAGTTTGTAAGGTGTTTGTTTACACTGTACGTTTTGCCTTCAGTACAATATTGGAGCTAGGCCCTACAATTACACAATAGAAAGAGAGCTTTCTGACGGTGCTAAGGGATGTGAGGACAAGCTAAGTGAGAAGAGAGCAGATGGTGCACCCTTCTGCGTCAAATGCAGCCTGTCTTGTAAAATAGATGCTTCTTGTTCTCCTTCAGGGCAGTGCAGACTGCAGAATATGTAACTCTTTTTTTAATAGACAGGGGTAGATTGGACTCATTCATGCTCAGTTCCAGTCCTAAACAGTGGTCCACTCTGTAGGGGGCATTGCTGTAACTATAGGGGTCCTCAGGAGCAGTCCAGTTCAGTATGAACAGGGGCCGTGTGACATAGTCTGTTTGGGGTTGCCCCGGGTACAGAGGAAATTACATATCGACTGAGCGGCCCTTTTTAAACAGCAGACAAATGCTCCCTGAAACAGTGCTGGGTCTCGGAGACGCCCCCAACTTTTGTGAAAAATCTGCCGATGTGCCCTTGAGCAAGGCATTTAACTCTAATTGCTCCTGTAAGTCGCTCTGGATTAGTTTTAGGAATGAGAGAGCATTGCTCCTTCTCAGAATCCAAATGTTGTGTCATGTTGTTGGCATCTGGGGTTGGATATAGAAGCACCTTGGGCCCCTCATGTTGTGGTGTTTTGGGAATTAACTGGCAAATGCAAATGCTTGGATTCTTTAATCCGCAGGGTAATCTGCCCAGAGTGATATTGAAATGTAATCGTACCTTCTCTCCCTCCCAGGCTTTTAGAATCTATTTATTGCCCCAACAACAGGACGTAAACAGCAATCTTATGGAGGGAAATAAACTAGTCTTTAGCTAAATTGAACTGGGACCAGTTGGTATATCTGAGTCTTGATATATCTGAGTTAGTCTTTGATGGATGTTCTGATCTAAAGTCAAGTCTTATGGGATGTCTGGAAAGATAGGTAGGCATAAATTACAGCATAGCTGGCAAGTCGCATTCAAGGAACAGAATCACACACCACTGACCCATGTGGCAAACACCAGATAGCCGTACACACACACACACACACACACACACACACACACACACACACACACACACACACACACACACACACACACACACACACACACACACACACACTAACACACACTAACACACACTAACACACACTGCTAGACTTTATTAATACCACCAGACCTACATAGTGAATCCTGGACTGGCCATAGTCCATAACCATCGTGACACGGCACAAATTCTGACCTCCAGTACTGCCTTTGATATTTCAGTCTGTACCTCCCTCGAGAGTGTGTGTGTGTGTGTGTGTGTATTTGTGAGAGAGGAGAACACGGTTTCACAGCCAAGAAAAGGAGGGAGAGAGAGAGATTAGTAGTGGGAAAGGGACCCTGTTAGGTTATGGACCTGGAGGTACACCCAGTCCCTTCTCTTTCCTTTATCTTTTCTATCCTCCATTTTGTTTTCAGGCTGACCTATCTTCTTATACATGTCTACTTCTCTTCTTCCTTAGAATGGGCTCAATGCGTTGCACCTGGCAGCTAAGGAGGGCCACGTGGAGCTGGTCCAGGAGCTGCTGGAGAGAGGCTCAGCTGTGGACTCAGCCACCAAGGTGGGTTCCTTTACCGCACTACCGTATGTGGAACTAGCACAGTAGGATAGAAACGAAGTAGGATACGCTACATGAGCTAATGGTTGATGGTCATGTCCGTCCACGTCCGCTGTAGGGAGACTATTCATTTTTAAAGGCTTGTTAGGAGATTGCATGCTGGCCATGTGTTAAGATTATATTTCCCTTAGCTGCTTTGGACTTTTGGATTACAAATAAAGATAGTTAGAAAGATGATAATCAAATGAGCTGTCAAAAGAAAGTACCCCGAAGATCATGGATGATAACACATTTTGTTTTTCTTCCGTTGTGAAATCTGATGTGCTGTTTGACACCGAAAGACAATTGTGCATTGTTTTAGTTTGTTTAGGCTTGATATTGTACTTTCCAACAGAGATAAAATAATTTAAATGACACAAAAACAGGATGCATTTCTCTGAAAAGTCTGCTCGTTCAAGGTATCGGTCTCCAAATGAAGGCCCCTAAACGTGGTTTAAGTTTCACACACGACGTTAAGCAGGTCAATGTCCTGAAACAGCTCTCCTCACACTCTTGCCCTACATTAACCTGACTCTTAACCTTTCCAACAGTGAGACAACACTACCATACCCAGGGCAGACAGCCATATCCCTAACCAGCACCCAATCCACTGCACTGCACTGGAACCTAACACCGTCACATGACTGTGCACTCTAGCTTCAGAGCACTAGGGTGTAGCAGGCAGGAAAGGGGATACAGCTAGTTTCATTGAACATGGAGGTAGTTATGCTAAGCTGTGAAAATTGAGAAGGTTTATTCCTTCTAAAGAGCATGTTTAGGTGTCGTGTGACTTGTTACAGATGTAGGATCTTAATTTGATCACCCTGTTGCAGGAAAACTTTCCTGTAATGCAGGAAATTTCAAACATGTGTAGCTCAGTTGGTAGAGCATGGCGCTTGCAATGCCAGGGTTATGGGTTCGATTCCCACGGGGGCCAGTATGAAAAAATGTATGCACTCACTAACTGTAAGTCGCTCTGGATAAGAGCATCTGCTAAATGACTAAAATGTAAATGTTTAAAATCAGAATTTACTTGACTTATGTTTCATAGCAATCACTGGTTCATATTTAATTGTGTTTGCTGTACATGACTCATTTAAATGACAACCGAACTGATTTGTTAATCACCATGCCCTAATTAAAAGCATTGAGGGATTAAGGCTCTCTATGAGTGATAACTCTTCATTATCTCTGGCTGTCTGTATCACAGCATCAGTAGGAGTGCTCCTCAGAAAGGCCCACTCATCTCCATCACTGAGCCATATGTGTCTGTGGATATGCCTGTTTGGGGTGTCACATCTCCAATCAGTGATGGAGAGAATTAATGATGAAAAAGTAGTAATAGGAGTGGCTGTAGACAATGAGATGGCGGTGATGACTGTGTGTGTGTGTGTGTATCAAACATTTGATACTATAATAATACAATTTGTATGCTTTTTGTCAAAGCTGAAATACAGGACAAAGTCGTTTTTGTCATTTCTGTTTATGTCAGAAATGACAGTTTATGTCATTACTGTATGTTATCCATCCTCTTTGTAAGACAGAGGTGAAAATGGAACCCCTTGTTTTGTGTATTGATTGACACAGTTCACCTTGTTCTCTATAATGGTGTAATATGTGTCCATCTGTGTTCTTCCATCCCAGAAAGGGAACACATCCCTCCACATTGCCTCTCTGGCCGGACAGGCCGAGGTGGTGAAGATACTGGTGAAGCGCGGAGCAGAAATCAACTCTCAATCTCAGGTAAGAGATACAGTAGCATGGCGGCAGCCATCTTGCTTTCGTCTCAAATCCCTACCAGCTCTGATCAGGATTTGTGTGGCAAAACGATGCCATACCATTGCTCTGACCATACCATGCTGTGGACATATACCAGTTTATAGGCATACATGCCTATGCAAATAAATATGGGCTATGGACATACTTGTTTTCTGTGCAGTCAAATTGATATTGTATTGGTTCTTCCTCCACAAAATGATGTATCACCAAAATGATGTAACCTACTGTAGGCATGCAGCAGTTGATAATATACCTGCTGTGCTGTTGTGTCTCCAGAATGGCTTCACCCCTCTGTACATGGCTGCTCAGGAGAACCATATAGACGTGGTGCGTTACCTACTGGAGAACGGAGGGAACCAGAGCACCGCTACAGAGGTAGGGAGTGTGTGTGTGTGCATTTGTGTATGTGTATGTGTGTATCTTCGTACATGTTTTAAGTAAATGGTTTGAAGTTTTCAGTCTGTGTGAGGATGTGTGTGAACATTGTGTTTTACCAGGCGTGATCCTGATGAAATAAAGTTTGTGCTGTTTTATGCCTTATCATTGTTGGTCTGTGGCTATGGATAACCTTCTCCCTCCTCCCTCTCCTTCCCTCCTCCAGGATGGCTTCACCCCACTGGCCATCGCTCTGCAGCAGGGCCACAACCAGGTGGTGTCCGTCCTGCTGGAGAACGACACCAAGGGTAAGGTGCGGCTGCCCGCCCTGCACATCGCCGCCCGCAAGGACGACACCAAGTCTGCTGCGCTGCTCCTTCAGAATGACCACAATGCAGACGTGCAGTCCAAGGTACGGCCGGAGGGAAGGGGTTAATGGTTAAAACGTGCATCTGTGTTATTGGGTTAGCGTGTGTCTGTGGTGCTACGACCATGTGTTGTCAATGGGGGCAAGACCGACATGCTGTAGGACTGTAAGGGAATTGAATACAGGGTACTTGTTACAGTTTTGTTTGTCAGTGCTTTGTGGTGTATTTCTAGTATCAATACGAACAAGTTTCAATGAAAAAAAGGGTGTAATGAGAATGAGTCAGTGTTGACATACATTAGCCCTTGTCCGTCTGTCTGAGGTGTAGCTGTCTCTCTGTCTGTCCATCTCTCTCCTTCAGTGTTGTGTGCCTGCCACTAGTTCATTGGTCCTGCCACTAACCGGGTCTCTCTCTCTTCCTGTCTTATCTATCTATCTGATCCACTCACACCCCCCTCCCCCCATCACTCGCAACCGCACCCCCGGTGTTTATGTGGAGCACTGTCCACTGCATGGAGTGTGCGGAGTGTGCTATTGTCCACAGGTCGTATTGTTGAATGTTGCAATTTGAGGGTTGCATGCATCCTTGGGTTTCTGGCAAAATGTGTTTTTAGGGGTGGGTGGGTGAGGGTAAGGGGATGGGCTGTGGCTAGAGTGAAGTGCAGGTTCCCATATTTTGAAGGACAGTAGCCTATACTGAAATAATATTCTACGGTACACCAGGGCTATTCAATGAACTGTCTCAAGGTCTTCACTGTAGCACTGCTGGTTTCTTTAGTTGTTTGAACTGTTATTGTCATTGAATGGCCAGAGTCCACTCATGGATTACCAATGTCTGAATCAGTCCCTTTTGATTGACTGATTTATTTTGGGGAAAAGCAATTTGCACAGTTTAAAAACAAAATAAAAGTACAAAGAACCCCAGAGGACAACACATGAAAGCATTAAATACATTTATTTCCAATGTGGTCCTGGTTGTAGGACGATAACAGGAAACAGAATGAGTGAAAATTAGCAGTGCTGCTGTTGTTCACCAGGAATTGAACAGCCCTGCACTGCAAACACTATGGCATACCAGTTATCATTGGTGTTGTCACTGAACATAACATTGTCCTTGTGTCAGGCCTAATGTTAATGATATTACATAATATAAAACAGTGTATGCCAGCATTTCCCAGACTCAGTCCTCGAGACCCCAAGGGGTACACGTTTTGGTTTTTGCCCTAACACTACACAGCTGATTCAAATGATCAAAGGTTGATGATTAGTTGATTATTTGAATCAGCTATGTAGTACTAGGGCAAAAAACTAAACGTGCACCCCTTGGGGTCCAGAGGACTGGGTTTGGGAAACCCTGGTGTATGCAGACATGAAATGCTGAAATGATTACGGCTCAGCTGTTTCCATGCAGTACTCTTCACCATGACTCACTGGGGAGACCCAGAGGAGGGTGGATGAAGACTGCAGCATGAAAACACACTCTCACACACACCACATGTAGACATTAAACACAGAGCACTCTCACCAAATACCTCTGAACACAGTCCTGTGACGATTACCTGAATTAGTTTGGCAATAACCACCATCTTAAAAGCTTAATTAGGTGACTCTCTAGTGAGTTTGGCCTTGTGGTGCAAAATGGCTGCCATACATCACTGTTGTGTGAGTTGCATAGAGTGAGTAAGGCCTGCTCATAGAACATAGTATTATGTACAGTATACATGTATGTCTATGGACTTGCTACTCTCATTGTAAAACATCTGAAGGTCTTTGGATAAAAGATGCGATAAAGCATATGAAGAGTTTATTTCCAAAACGCTATATCCACAAATGTTTTACATTTTTGTTTTTTCATCAGAAACTATTGCTTATTTCATGTGTGTGTAAAATATTATTGTTCTCAGATTTTTAATTCATAGATTTTAGATGTTTTTTTTGTTTTGTTTTTTTGGGCAAAACGCTAAATATCCATTGTTTAGCTGGAATGGAAAGTTCGTATCCTGTATATTTGACTGTGATATGTGGTTATCTCACCTAGCCATCTTAAGATGAATGCACTTACTGCAAGTCGCTCTGGATAAGAGCATTTGCTAAATGACTACAGATCTACAGATCTGACATTACTGGATTTTATATTGATGTCACAAATGTATCATTTATAGAGTTCTCTATTAAAAATGTAGTTATTTGTTACATTTGACTGTGTAAAACCTGGCAGTACTTAGTTCTCTGAAAGTGAGGTGGATAGCAAAGAAAATTACATTGAACAACCAACCTCATGACGTGATTATATAGTGAAAAAACACACCAATCTCTTTCATAATTTCTTAAAAACAATAAAAGCTCATTTCAGAAAATGTATATATATAGCATTTTGGAATTAAACTCTTCATATACAGTCTAGCAATAAAGCTGTTTTTGAAGAGAATCATACCCCTCTAGCCACTTTGCCTGTATTTCTTGTATTGCACAGCTACCCTGAACATTGAGCATCTGTATGACTGTGTGTAAAATAACTAAGGTTTTTCCCTTCCTTATCTCTGCTGCTTCAGATGATGGTCAATAGGACTACGGAGGTATAACCACTATGTCTAGCACTCAAACCTTCATCATAACCACATCACTTTTATTGTTTGTCTTTGTGTCATTTTAGCACTTTATTTCCTTCACTTCTATAGCACTGCATGGCGGAAATAGACCCGGATCTTTCAGTCTTTCGCAATCTCTTTATGGTTCAATTCTTTTCTGTATTGTTACGCATGCATGATGTTATCTCGAATGGCCCACTCGCTCAAGTAGTTTATCTCGCACATCATGTGCCTTAGTAGTTTGTCTTTCAGTTAGAAAACCGTCATCGGTTAATTTATTTTACTTTGTGCATACTTTTGACATACTTTCGTTTTCATTGGTTGGTTTCTGGAGTTTTATTGATGCTATCCCAAGCTCAGAGAGTTGATTTATATCCTTAATGATAATCTCATAATCACCTATACATTTCACACTAAGATGATTTTACATGATGGATAATAATTTTTACAGTGTTAAAGGGATACTTCAGGATTTTGTCAATGAGTCAGATGAACTCGTGGATACCATTTTTATGTCTCTGCGTGCAGTTTGAAGGAAGTTTCTAACTAACGCTAGGTAGCTTAGTGGGTAGCTTAGTGGTTAAGAGCGTTGTGCCAGTAACCGAAAGGTCGCTAGTTCTAATCCCCGAGCTGACTAGGTGAAAATCTGTCGATGTGCCCTTGAGCAAGGCACTTAACCCTAATTGCTCATGTAAGTCGCTCTGGATAAGAGCGTCTGCTAAATGACTAAAACGTCAAACGTAAACAATTGCTAACTAGCATAAGTGTAATGACTGGAAGTCTATGGGTATCACATACCCTTAGACTTCCAGTTATTGTGCTAACACTAGTTAGCATTGGCTCGCAAAACTACCTCTAACTTCCTTCTTACTGGACACAGAGACAAAAAAATGGTGTCCACTAGTTCATCTGACTCTGGGGAAGTAGATAAAGGGCATCATTGCCAAAATTCCGAAGTATCTCTTTAATGTTTATATATAGAATTTCTACATGTGTTGCATGCCATTCATTTATATTGTAGATGCACTATGAACTAAATTGATATTATTTGACAAAGCATAAAACAATGTTATTGATATAATGAGGTCGTAATTGTCACATCTTTACATTTACAAAGAGCTTGAGATAAGATAAAGAAATAGTAATATTATAAGAAATATATCAATGCAAATATATGTATATTATACTTGCAAGAAGCATGTTTTATATAGTATAGTATATTACTGCAATGGCATGATAGAACATCAATCAAAAAGTATCCAGGTGCTTTACAGATCATTTTCTTGAAGAACAAAAGCACTATATAGCATGATGCATCCCGACTATTTTCATTTGCACCATTATCAGCTGTCAGCTTTAAATGTGTAATTTTGAATCATCGCGTAGTCACTACAATTCTTCACACTTTTGTAAATAATGTTTTCACATTAAATCGGACCATGACTTTCAGAATGGAAAGGTAAGGCAAGAATTTAACAATACTCCAACTGCTCTGCAATAGCCCTCTCTGATTTCTTATGATTCCTAACATGACAATATGGCGTACAGTGACATAGTGCACTTTGGTGTTGATAAAAAAAATACAGTCATGGTTTTTGGAACCACTTTTTTGATTTGGTGTCTTTTTTCTCTGTCCTGTAAATGTATGGTTAACTAATACTGTGTGTCAATTGTTTGGTTGATATTAACAGTCTGTGTGAACTGTACGTCTATTCGTTTTTTATTTCCTTAATTTCTTTCTTTATTATTTAAATAAATGGAGAAACTATAGATTTGATTTTGTTCTGACTGTAGGATAACCAGTTGCATGGTAGTCTTTCTGAGTGTGTGTTTGTGTGTATGCATACAGTATGTAATTTGCGTGTATGTGCATAATTGAGTCATGATTTTCTGAAACTGAATTTTAAGATGTATTTCCCTTCATCTCTTTGGTTTCCTCCCTCTTCTTAGTTTGAAGCGTTGCTCTTTTACATGTATTAATTTCCTTTTCTTTCTTTCTTTTGGTGATGGTTAATGCGACTGTTGCATGCTGGGATAGTGGAGGTCAAGGGTCAGGGGTCAGGCTTTGGCGTCATGAATGAGGCTAGTATCTAACCCACTGTCTCTCTCTCTCCCTCCCTCTCTCTATGTTCACCCCTGTGTTACAGAGTGGATTCACGCCACTTCATATCGCTGCCCACTATGGAAACGTGAACGTGGCCACGCTACTGCTAAATCGTGGGGCGGCTGTGGACTTTACAGCTAGGGTAGGTACCATTACCATAGCTAGGGTAGGTACCATTACCATAGCTAGGGTAGGTACCATTACCAAACTATTACAACAACCTTCTGATCTGCAGTCAGTGCTATCGTTGCACAGCAAGGTCTTGGGATCCATCACGATAAACTCTTTTGTGTTCATTCCTTTACTGGAACTAGTGCAAAGATTGCAGGTTATAGGAATGGCTGCCCACACGCACTGTGCCAAGAACCATAAAACACAGGAGACTTTAGAGCACATACGCACACACACACACACATTTTAAGCGAGTAGGGTGAAATGCCCTTTAGGAACCCACAGTCAGCGATTGAGTTGCTTTCTAGGACAATGACACCTTCTGCCTCAGCACTTCCCTTTTCTCGGAATCCTCATGTCCGTGTGTGGTCCCCATCAGCCACTCAGACAGAGAAAGGAATGAGTCTTAGGGGAATGCCAGTCCTTTTCATGAGATAGAACTCAAGGCGAGAGATGGAGATAGTTGTCTGGCCAAGCTGAAAGATTACTTGAAGGTCACAGACTCAATGCAGTCCTATTCTGACTGAGCCCTTAGTGTCTACAGCTAAAGAACACATCCACTAACCCAGCAAGGGACTCCACAGTCAGAAACCTTACCTTTTATTTGCAGAAACGTAACACTCAAAAACACTGTAAATTCTGCTATGTCACACTTTCTCAGGCGTTTTTAGTCACAGTCATCATAACAAGCTGTGTGTCCTGCAGTGCTCTGGACCAGGCTGAGGAAAAAAGCTTTCACATTGTCAAGATTTCACAGAAATCAGAGGAGTGGCCGAACGCCAAAATAACATAACAAATCCTAACAGAAAGAATGAACAGGAGCCATTCATCAGCAATTCCATTCAATTCAAGGTTTATTGTCCCAGCAAAGAAATTCATTGAGGTATATTAGAAAGCGTGACAGCATTCACTAGAGGCCTTGTCCTGAACTACCCCCACTGTTTGAGGAACAACATTGCACGTAATAGAAGCTGGTCAAAAGTAGTGCACTATGTAGGGAATAGGATGCCATTTGGGCCAGTACCTAGGTTATAACACAGCTTTGTTATTGCCACAGATGGGTCAGTGTGGAACAGGGTATCAGTTATCACGATTATAACTCTAATATTCTAGTAAAGCTGCCTGTCTAATCAGGAAAACATCTGTACCGGCTGGCAGATTTGATACAATAATAAAGCCCTGCATGTGTTTACTAGTAAACAAGCTCCACAACAAAAACAACAATAATACACTAGAAAACCCTAACCTAAGAGAACCCTAACCTAAGAGAACCCTAACCTAAGAAAACCTAAGATTTGTGGTAAACAGGGGATACTGTATGTTTGTTTTGTCTGTGTCAGTTTTATCTTGTGTGTGTGTGTGCGTGTGCGTGTGTGTGTGCATGCGTGTGCGTGCCGATGTGCACATAGAGACGCTTTGTCCTGATACCTCCACTGTCTGAGGAACAACATTACACATAATATAAACTGTACACTGGCCTTGTAACAGCACATATATATACAGTAGGATGTGTAGTTATATACCATTAGTTCAATTGTTTATTTCATTTTTAATGTGTCTTCAATTGTGTTATGTGTATTTCAGAATGGGATCACGCCCCTCCACGTGGCCTCTAAGCGTGGCAACGCTAACATGGTGCGCCTCCTACTGGACAGGGGTTCTCAGATCGATGCTAAGACCAGAGTGAGTCCACACACATACGCGTACACACACACACACAAACACACACACTCATACAACCAGTACACGTACACACACGTGCACATACACAGACCGTTTGACCCCATCACTGTGCACAAGTGTGTGACGCAGTGTCCTTGCTACCAAAATGTCATTATTGTCCAGTGGCAGTGCTGCAGTCACTTTCCACCAGACTCCGCCTTGGACCTCTTCTTCAGCTGCAGCAATGTATCATAGTCTCATCCACAGCCAGTGGTGACGCATTGGGTCACTGTGTGTGTGTGCGTTGTGTGTGTGTGTGTTTTAAGTTTATGTATTGTATAAGTAGGTGTACTCACTGTTCATGTTGTATGTGGGTGTGTTGATAAGTGTGAGAGAAGGTGTGTGTGTGTGTGTATGTACTGCATAGCTGGTGGATTTGTGTGTGTGTGTGTGTGTGTACTGCATAGCTGGTGGATGTGTGTGTGTGTTTGTGTGTACTGCATAGCTGGTGGATGTGTGTGTATGTTTGTGTGTACTGCATAGCTGGTGGATGTGTGTGTGTGTGTGTGTGTGTGTGTACTGCATAGCTGGTGGATGTGGGTGTGTGTGTGTGTGTGTGTACTGCATAGCTGGTGGATGTGGGTGTGTGTGTGTGTGTGTGTACTGCATAGCTGGTGGATGTGTGTGTGTGAGTGAGAGCTGCAGCACTATGTATTTACGGCTAGCTCACTAGAGAATAACTTGTTGAGTCTAAAAGCCCTCCATTTTGACATGCTATTATTCTTGTGTCCTTGGCCGTTTTGCTGCTCAATCAGCTTACTGCATTAACTTAGGGCAAAAATCCCCTCTGACGCAACCACTCTCCCTCCTCTCTCAAATCACTCCATCACTATACCTCCCTCCTCTCTCAAATCACTCCATCACTATACCTCCCTCCTCCCTCAAATCACTCCATCACTATACCTCCCTCCTCCCTGAGCCTGACAATCTATCCATCTTTCATAACAGAAAACATCCTGTTTTTAATTGCGCAATAGATATTTATGCGGCCATTACCAAGGTATTAAATCCTAATATAATTCTAATGTCCAGAGTTAATATAAATAACACATAGAAAGATTATGTGATTAGACCCTAACGTAACGATAACGTCCACTCAACGTTAGATAACGGTACAGTTCCGGTCAGTGCAGGACAGTGCCCATTTAGACAATTAACATTCTATTACCTGCGTATTATATCCATATAATTTTAATTGTCCAGAGTTAATGTTGATATAATATCATATAGGTGCTGCGTCTCAAATCTGAAATGACACCCTATTCCCTATATAGTGCACTACATTTGACCAGTGCCCTATAGAGTTCTGGTAAAAAGTAGTGCACTATGTAGGGAATAGGGTGCCATTTGGGCCAATACCTAGGTTATAACACAGCTTTGTTATTGCCACAGATGGGTCAGTGTGGGACAGGGTATCAGTTATCACGATTATAACTCTAATATTCTAGTAAAGCTGCCTGTCTAATCAGGAAAACATCTGTACCGGCTGGCAGATTTGATACAATAATAAATCCCTGCATGTGTTTAGTGGTAAACAAGCTCCACAACAAAAACAACAAGAGTGCCCTAGAAAATCCTACAGCGGGGCTATCCTCAGTGGTTTTTTGTGCATTTTATTACACAAGCAGAGTTGAGGTTAACAGAGGATACTGTATGTTTGTTTTGTTTTGTCTGTGTCAGTTTGATCTCTGGTGTGTGTGTGTGTGTGTGTGTGTGTGTGTGTGTGTGTGTGTGTGTGTGTGTGTGTGTGTGTGTGTGTGTGTGTGTGTGTGTGCGTGTGCGTGCGTGTGCGTGCGTGCGTGTGTGTGTGTGTGTGTGTGTGGTTTGTGTGTGTGCGTCCATGTGCGTGCGTGCCTGCCTATGTGCGCAGAGAGAGGTGAGGTTAACATGGTTAACATGTAATTGAAGCAAGGGTCAAGGACATTTCAGCCACCATGTTTCAATACGTGTCTCTATATGCATCTGTATGCATCCATTGTTTGACACGGTATTGAATTGAACTAAGCCTTTCGTCCACTGAGAGCCAATCTACTCAGATACTCAGGGGACTTAGCCACAGATATAATCTAGTAAAATAATGTAAATCCATTGTGGATGAACAAGGTTCACTCTGTAGTGAACCAGGGAATGGAACAATCACCCCTTAGATAGACATGTCACAACCTGATCAATACTCTGCTACCACCGGTGACCTTGTGTTATGTGTATACGTGTGTGTATTCATGCGAGATTGGGGGTTGTTTTGTGTGTGTGTGCGTGCGTGTGTGTGCGAGTGTGTTTTGTTTGCCCTGTGTGTTTGAACCGTATATATATATGTTTGTGTGTGTGTGTGTGTGTGTGTGTGTGTGTGTGTGTGTGTGTGTGTGTGTGTGTGTTCATGTGGTATGGGGTTATTGGTATACAAATATGTGTGTGTGTGTGTGTGTGTATTTGACTATCTGTGTGTGTGTTTTCTGCAGGACGGCCTCACACCTCTACACTGTGCGGCCAGGAGTGGACATGACCCTGCAGTGGAGCTACTGCTGGAGAGAGGAGCACCCATGCTGGCCAGGACCAAGGTACACACACACACACACACACTCACACACACACACATATCGCAGTGCTAGCTGTGCCACTAGAAATCCTGGTTCGAATCCAGGCTCTGTCGTAGCCGGCCGTGACCGGGAGACCCATGGGGCGGCGCACAGTTGTCCAGGGTAGGGGAGGGACTGGCCGGCAGGGATGTAGCTCAGTTGGTAGAGCATGGCCAGGGTTGTGGGTTCGATTCCCACGGGGGGTATGATTATAATTTTTTTTAAATAAAAAATAATGTATGCACTCACTAACTGTAAGTCGCTCTGGATAAGAGCGTCTGCTAAATGACAAAAAAATATATAATAATAATGAGAACATGTATAATTATTGTGCAATTCATATCTATAGGCTAGATTTAGGTTTTTCTTTCATCATTTTTATCTGGCGTTAGTTCGTAGCCTAAACCTAAGCTTTAGGGCATAACTGTAGCGTGACATATACACACCAACTGCCAAATGCTCTGGGATCTTGGGCAGAAAAAGGTAATGTCGATCCACTGAGGCATAAAGGACAATGTCAGAGTTTAATTAAAAAAGAGAAAAGCTGCGAAATGGAAAGTTGAAAATAAAAAGAAGTGCGGGCCAGAACAGTAGTCTAATGTTTGGGAAAGATTTGCTGAAATGTTAAAAGAGGATGATATGTGTTATGATTGTGAGGCGATACACAAATTTGACAGTCGCAAGACAGGGGACTTCATGGAATAGTAGCCACTGACTGTAGGTCTATAACCTCTCACATAGCCTTAATATTAACTCCTCCAGAATTAAGCATTTCTTGCAGTAAAATTATACACCAAATGTACATTTTTACTCGGGAGTGGCAAAATATTATTTATTTATTTCAGCATCTTGAGAGAATGAATGTGCGGTTAGGGACCATCTGTAAAGGTGGCGGTGCTATCTTTATCAGCATCATAAAACCTGATAGTATTTCAACCATATAAAAGATGCATCCAAGCCGAACTGAAATCGTAGATTTTTTTTTTAGGTTGTTTTAAAAGCTTTTAATTTCCTTAGAACCGGTCAAACTGATGTCATTTGTAAATTTTGCATGGAAAACCTTTCCCATTTTTTTTTTTTTTTGCATTTGCTCCATTTGCATTTGCTTCTGTGCGGGTCTCAGATTTTCACTTTAGCACTTGTATTATTAGCAATTGTGGGCGGGTGCGGGTGAACGAATAGCTGACCCACGCATCACTAACACACACTCTCACTCTGACCATCTCTCTCTCTCTCTGTAGAACGGTCTGTCTCCTCTCCACATGTCAGCGCAAGGCGACCATGTCGAGTGTGTCAAGCACCTGCTGCAGCACAAGGCGCCTGTTGATGATGTTACACTGGACTACCTGACGGCGCTGCACGTCGCTGCCCACTGCGGTCACTACAGAGTCACCAAGCTGCTGCTGGACAAGAGGGCCAACCCCAACGCTAGAGCACTGGTACTACTCACAATCCTATTACCACTAATACAATGACTTCCAATACACTACGCCTATACACTATATATACAAAAGTATGTGGACACCCCTTCAACTTAGTGGATTCGGCTATTTCAGCCACACCCATTGCTGACAGGTGTATAAAATCAAGCACACAGCCATGCACTCTCCATAGACAAACAATGGCAGTAGAATGGCCTTACTGAAGAGCTCAGTGACTTTCAACGTGGCACCGTCATAGGATGCCACCTTTCCAACAAGTCAGTTCGTCAAATTTCTGCCCTGCTAGAGCTTCCCCGGGTCAACTGTAAGTGCTGTTATTGTGAAGTGGAAACGTCTAGGAGCAACAACGGCTCAGCCATGAAGTGGTAGGCCACACAAGCTGACAGAACGGGAACGGTGAGTGCTGAATCACTGAATGGCTACAGTTAGGCCCTAAAGCTTAGGCTTAGGCTACGAACAAGTGGCAGATAAAAATTGTCTGTCCTCGGTTGCAACGCTCACTATCGAGTGCCAAACTGCCTCTGGGAGCAACGTCAGCACAAGAACTGTTCGTCAGGAGCTTCATGAAATGGGTTTCCATGGCCGAGCAGCCGCACACAAGCCTAAGATCACCATGCGCAATGCCAAGCAGTGGTGTAAAGCTCGCCGCCATTGGACTCTGGAGCAGTGGAAACGCGTTTTGGCGGATGCCAGGAGAACGCTACCTGCCCCAATGCATAGTGCCAACTGTAAAGTTTGGTGTAGGAGGAATAATGGTCTGGGGCTGTTTTTCATGGTTCGGGCTAAGCCCCTTAGTTCCAGTGAAGGGAAATCTTAACGCTAAAGCATACAATGACATTCTAGACGATTCTGTGCTTCCAACTTTGTGGCAACAGTTTGGAGAAGGCCCTTTCCTGTTTCAACATGACAATGACCCCGTGCACAAAGTGAGGTCCATACAGAAACGGTTTGTCCAGATCGGTGTGGAAGAACTTGACTGGCCTGCACAGAGCCCTGACCTCAACCCCATTGAACACCTTTGGGATGAATTGGAACGCCGACTGCGAGCCAGGCCTAATCGCCCAACATCAGTGCCAACCTCACTAATGCTATTGTGGCTGAATGGAAGCAAGTCCCCGCAGCAAGCAATGTTCCAACATCTAGTGAAAAGCCTTCCCAGAAGAGTGGAGGCTGTTATAGCAGCAAAGGGGGGACCAACTCCATATTAATGCCCATGATTTTGGAATGATATGTTCGACGAGCAGGCGTCCACATACTTTTGGTCATGTAGTGTACGTATGGTGGCTATTTTGCCGATTCTATTTCAAAGAGACAGAACTTGGTAAAACACAGTTTTGAGTGAAAATAAGATGGCCTCTCCTATATGTCTCAACATGTCAACAATGTCCCTACATGTATATGCCACCTGTACTGTAGGTGTGTTTCATTCATTCTGTGTCTGGGGTGTGTGTCTGTCAGAATGGCTTCACCCCGCTGCACATCGCCTGTAAGAAGAATAGAGTGAAGGTGATGGAGCTGCTGGTCAAGTATGGAGCTTCTATCCAGGCCATCACAGAGGTAGGACACTAGCCTTCAAAATGTAAACAGTTACATCATAATACACAATTATACGTGTATTATTAGATAATACACAAATTAGCGTCTACAATATACAGTACACAAGAATGCAACCCCACACCTCTTATCACTTCAATATGGTTGACTTAAAGGTAGACTCAGCGAAATGACGTTACCACGAGCAGCACCGGAGATATTGAGATGAGCGAGATGCACGACTTCGCTCTCACACAGTCACACACAGTATCTGCGCATGTGCACGTGTTCGCTTCATGCTGTTACAGCATGGTAGCCAGGGCACCAAAACAGCGGAGAAGTTGAGCCTTGCGCTTCAACACTCTTAGTTGTTGCGGAAATTGACCCACTATGCTGTTTACTTTCTGCATCTACTTCATATCGCTGAGTCTACCTTTAATATAACATATGCCATTTATACACTAGTTTCATTAGCTATTGTGTTTTGACCAGAACTGGCTTCAAACACATAAACAGTACTGTATGTACACTACTGTTCAAATGTTCCATTAAAATAACATAATATTGATCAGAAATACAGTGTAGACATTGTTCATGTTGTAAATGGCTATTGTAGCTGGAAACGGCTGATATTTAATGGAATATCTACATAGGCGTACAGAGGCCCATTATCAGCAACCATCAGTCCTGTGTTCCAATGGCACGTGGTGTTTGCTAATCCAAGTTTATCATTTTAAAAGGCTAATTGATCATTAGAAAACCCTTTTGCAATTATGTTAGCACAGCTGAAAACTGTTGTGCTGATTAAAGAAGCAATATAACTGTCCTTCTTGAGACTAGTTGAGTATCTGGAGCATCAGCAATTGTGGGTTCGATTACAGGGTCAAAATGGCCAGAAACAAATAACTTTCTTCTGAAACTCATCAGTCTATTCTTGTTCTGAGAAATGAAGGCTATTCCATGCGAGAAATTGCCAAGAAACTGAAACAGAAACAGACGCCTCACAGGTCCTCAACTGGCAGCTTCATTAAATAGTACCCGTAAAACACCAGTCTAAACGTCAACAGTGAAGAGGCGACTCCGGGATGCTGACCTTCTAGGCAGAGTTGCAAAGAAAAAGCCATATCTCAGACTGCCCATCTTAATCGTTTCTTTTTATTGGCCAGTCTGAGATATGGCTTTTTCTTTGCAACTCTGCCTAGAAGGTCAGCATCCCGGAGTCACCTCTTCACTGTTGACGTTGAGACTGGTGTTTTGCGGGTACTATTTAATGAAGCTGCCAGTTGAGGACCTGTGAGGCGTCTGTTTCTCAAACTAAACACTCTAATGTATTTGTCCTCTTGCTCATTTGTGCACCGGGGCCTCCCACTCCTCTTTCTATTCTGGTTAGAGCCAGTTTGCGCTGTTCTAAGAAGGGAGTAGTACACAGCGTTGTACGAGATCTTCAGTTTCTTGGCAATTTCTCGCATGGAATAGCCTTCATTTCTCAGAACAAGAATAGACTGACGAGTTTCAGAAGATGTAGATATTCCATAACAAATCAGCCGTTTCCAGCTACAATCGCCATTTACAACATTAACAATGTCTACACTGTATTTCTGATCAATTTGATGTTATTTTAATGGACATAAAAATAGCTTTTCTTTCGAAAACAAGGACATTTCTAAGTGACCCCAAACTGTTGAACGGTAGTGTATGTAAAGATGAAACATTTCTTGATCGAATCTCTCGCCGTCCCCCTCTTCCTTTCTCTCCAGTCTGGCCTGACTCCTATCCACGTAGCAGCCTTCATGGGTCACCTCAACATCGTCCTACTGCTGCTACAGAACGGAGCCTCGCCTGACGTCAGCAACATTGTGAGTGATGAGGGTTAATGTGGTGATGGACAGTGTGTGGACGTGTCTTAGCACGTTGTTTGTTTATGCTATCGCAGGTGTGTGTGTCTCTACAATGTTCTTGGCGTGTTTGTGTGTGTTTCTGCTGACTCGTATGTGTGTGTTGTGTGTAGCGTGGGGAGACTGCTCTACACATGGCGGCCAGGGCAGGACAGGTGGAGGTGGTGCGCTGTCTGTTGAGGAACGGAGCCATGGTGGACGCCAGAGCCAGGGTAACACATTTAACTACACCACTTACCACTTAGTACCATTTAGGATAAGGCTGTTATCATCTGTGTTGAACTCTTCAAAGAAACCTACCAAAAAGTACCAATTGCTTCCACAAAACATAATTAAACAGGGCTGTAAAATTAAACATTACAGCACTTTAACTATGCCCATTAATTTCAAATACCATAAAAGTCATATCCCCCATAACCTCAATCTCTCTATATATGTCTCTAATAAAACTAATATTCTGCCCACTATAACCTCCATGTCTCTACCCCTCCAGGAGGACCAGACTCCCCTCCACATCGCGTCTCGTCTGGGGAAGACTGAGATAGTCCAGCTGCTACTGCAGCATATGGCCCACCCTGACGCCTCCACGACTAACGGATACACACCCTTACACATCTCAGCCAGGGAGGGACAGGTGGACGTGGCTTCAGTGCTGCTGGAGGCAGGCGCCTCACACTCACTGGCTACTAAGGTGGGTGGAGGGCACACACACTCACACACACCTACATTTCACCGCCTACGCTCAAGCACACACACTCACACACACCTACATTTCACCGCCTACGCTCAAGCACACATGCTCACATACACAACTCACACCTGTACATCTTGGTGCTATTTTTGTGGGGATTTTTTTTATGGATGAAATATATCCCCTTCTTTCCTTGTGGATTATATAAGAAATATATCTTGATTCACTGTATGGCATGTTTCACAGGCGCCCACTATGGGGCCACTGTCAGTATGAACTGCTTTAATCTGGTTGAATCAATTATGGGTTCATGATTCTTTGGAGAACCTCTGGGCTCTTCTCCCACATTTTACAAGAGGACATTGATGTTGTCAGTGAAGGATATTCAATGTGAATTGACGCAACAATATATCAGTGCTAATTGATTCATAAGCTCTTGGCTCTGAATAAAAGCAGTTTATGAGGCAGTAAAATCCACCTCTCATGATGGTGGTGCCCTCTTCTCCATGCTGTTAGCATGAAAAAAGGACAGGGAGAGCGGATGCTCGGATGCTCATTGAACAACATCGTCCTAGGCATGCCCCTCTCTGCTTCTGTCCCCAATCACCTATATTTCATTATTGGATCACATTTGATACATTATCATCTTTATCTCCTGTTTTTCACAAAAGCCTCAAACAAGATCATCATTAGCGCCTCTTATTCTCTTCTTATCTACACATTGTTTCTACTCGGATGTGCATTACATCAGAAATGAACCAGCGTTACACAGACAAAGGATTCCCTCCCTTCATGGGCTGGGTCGTAAACACTGTGGTCATGTGACATGGGAGCAGCACCGTTGTCCTATCAAAACAGCCCTGGCCTCCTGTCAATGTGACAATGGCTAACAAGCACCACCTGGTGGCTCTATTGGGACTAGGTATTACTTGTAAGAGGGAGAGGCAAGTTTTGCTCTGCATGTTGGATTTTGGGTATTAACTACGATTGCATCAGCAATGTGGGTGCACAGAGAATGGTTCTTATTGTGCATCTTATTCAATTGCATTACGTTTGGTTCACATACATCATTAGTTGGACATTCATTTTAGATCCATTTGGAAAGGATGCTGTTATGAAATTATTGCTTTTTTTATATATTCCATGAGCCTTATGCACATTTATGAAGATAAAGTTAGTGGTTGTTGCAATAATTGTTGTCTCCATACAGAAAGGATTCACTCCCCTGCATGTGGCGTCCAAGTACGGAAGCCTGGATGTGACCAAACTTCTCCTGCAGAAAAGAGCCCCTCCTGATTCTGCTGGGAAGGTAAGCATCATTACCATAAAACTCAATCCCTAAATGATAATATAGCTCTACATGTGTTATATTTTCATGATTTCGATTCAGATAATTCACTGACCTTGAAGTACTGTTATGTGATAAAGAATAGTATATATCAAAGCTTTATCTGGCTAAATATTTAAAAAGTCTGTTCGTATTTCTGTATTGAGGCTATGTTGTCAGCGAGACTACCGGTGAGCATATTTTGATCAAATCAACTTTCAGTTTGATTAACTACTGTTTTTTCCTCTACCATTAGGAAAGACAGATAACAGATATTATTTTTCTTCTTGTTCTTTTTGAATAAGGACCCACCCGGCGAGCCTCCTGCTGCTTGCTCTTTAATATAAGTCTAATTCTCAATAACACACTGTAATAGTACCCCTATAACACAGCTTATCATATGTGTGTGTGTGTGTGTTGACTAGCTAGCATTAATAGCTGCTTGCTCCGCTAACTAGCCTGATTTAATCCAATACAGAACGGCCTCACGCCCCTCCATGTCGCAGCGCATTACGATAACCAGAAGGTGGCGCTCCTGCTTTTGGACAAAGGGGCCTCCCCCCACGCAACGGCCAAGGTGAGACCTCCCATCACTCAGAGACTCCCCGGTCACTGTCCTCAAAGAGATGGGAGGAAAGACGTCGGTCGACCTTGGGGTGGACGGTCAACGTAGTTTTGAAGCTTTGTGTGTACGTATGTGTACATCTTTTTGGGGTATCTGTATAACTGAGTTGACGTACTCTCTACCTACCCTCCCTCCCTCCAGAACGGCTACACCCCCCTCCACATTGCGGCGAAGAAGAACCAGATGGACATAGCGATGGTGCTGCTGCAGTACGGGGCGGAGACCAACATCCTGACCAAGCAGGGCGTCACCCCCCTACACCTGGCCTCACAGGAGGGACACGCTGACATGGCCTCCCTGCTCATGGAGAAGGGGACTCAAGTCAACGTCCCCACCAAGGTAGGCCTACATCCCTCTCGGTTTTAAACTGCTTATGTAACGCGGCCTCTGGCCGAGATTTGGAGCCACTCCTCAACGACCCACACGTTAAAACTGAAACGTTCAAATTGTACATCGGCCTTCGTACTCTAGTCACAGACACTTCTCTGAGACGTGACGTCTCACTGCTTCTGAAGGGTTCAAATGAACAGGGCCTCTGATGTTAGTCTTTCATTCCACTCTGTCATGTTCTCTCATTCCTTTAAAGTCTCCCTTTTAAAGTGAATATAGTTCCACTCTCAGTAAGAGCTTAATCCTATCAGGTGTAGTTCGTTTGGCCTGTATTAGATTCATCGATATCTTTGTGACGTTTGCAAAGAAATATGAGTTACACACACAGCTCTCAAGTTAGTATCCAGCCTTCAGTTCTGATGTCAGAGCTGTGGCGTGGCATGTATGAACGTAACAGGAATGAAGTTAAAAGAAGGGGAGAGTGTTGTTTCAAAGCTATTTTAGGAAGAGTGTGAGAGTGCTTGTGCCCCCCCCCCCCCCCCCCCCACACACACACACACACACTTTGTCTTAGAAATTTAGAGCATGCAAGCAAGGCCACAGGGCTTTATCTCCAACCAAGCAGAAACCCAGATGTATTCCTCCTTTAAACTTTTTACAAACCATTCATTCTTCATTTAGCTCTATCAGTCAACCCCAGACAGACCTCCAACTGGGCACATACTGGTTGAATCAACGTTGTTTCCACGTCATTTCAATGAAATTATGTTTGGTTGAATCAACGTTGTTTCCACGTCATTTCAATGAAATTATGTTGAACCAACGTGGAATAGACGTTGAATTGTGCCCAGTGGGCTGAGTGGATCGGGATATATCACTGCTTTACCTGACCTAGTCTGCCTTGTCATATACCGATGACAAATGCACACTATCTCAGGGGTGCAAGAACACTGGTAACATCTAGTGTAGTGTATTTGCACACGGCATGAGAAAAAACCCAAATACCCAATCACATCTTTCCCTCCTGTCAATGCGATATTGCCTGTCTTGGTGGGAAAAGTCGCCTGTCACTCAAAAACTCCTCCCTTTAATATTTTGGGTAAACCACATGACCTGACCAGGAGAAACTACTGTCCATAGGTATACAGTATGCTGATGAATTCATGTAGAGAGGTGGTGAGAAACATATTGTTGTTTGTGTCCCTTCAGAGTGGCCTCACCTCCCTCCATCTGGCTGCCCAGGAGGACAAGGTGGCTGTGGGTGAGATACTGGCTAAACATGGAGCCAACCTGGACCAGCAAACTAAGGTATAGAGTGTATTCATTTCATTTTAGCATTGACTGACCCTTGTACTGGAATACCGATAATATATAGTATGTCTCCATATATTGTACCTCAATATGCCAATGATTATCTGTTTCTCTTTTCATTATGTTAGTAGTAGATGTGTTTCGATACTAACTGTGATTTACCATTATCGTTCCAGTTGGGCTACACTCCTCTGATCGTAGCGTGTCACTATGGCAATGCCAAGATGGTCAACTTCCTCTTACAGAACGGTGCTAGTGTCAACGCCAAAACCAAGGTAATACACCATGCACAAAACTACCGCAGTACACTCTTAGAAAAAGGGTTATTCAACTGTCCCCATAGGAGAACCCTTTATGGTTCCAGGTAGAACCCTTTTCAGTTCCATGTAGAACCCTCCGTTGGAATAACTCTTTTAGGTTCTAGATAGCACCTTTTTTTTAAAGGGATACTTCTGGATTTTGGCAATGACACCGTTTATACAGTATACTTCCCCAGTCAGATGAACTTGTGGATACTATTTCTATGTTAACTGCTAGCATGCTAGTAGATACCATAGACTTCCAGTCATTGTTCTAACGCTAGTTAGCATTGGCTCACAAAACTACCACTAACTTCCTTCATACTGGACACAGATACATAAAAATGGTATCCACAAGTTCATCTGACTCTGGGGAAGTAGATAAAGGGAAGTTTCCCTTTAACTGCGTTATGAATGTTCAATAATGAATTATTTTCTTTGACAGAGAAGATAAAATGCTAGCCTAAGGGTTCATACTTGAATTTCTAAAATGTTCAGGCCTTGCCAGACAGTCATTACTCTTGAAAATTACAATGTTTGACTTTCTCTTCTCAGAATGGATATACTCCCCTCCACCAAGCAGCACAGCAAGGAAACACACACATCATCAATCTACTGCTGCAGAATGGAGCTAAGCCAAACAACATCACTGCGGTGAGTGGACTAGCTTCTGAACATACACACACCCACACACACACACACACACACACACACACAGACTTATGTCTTTCTCCCATCCTCCAGAATGGTAACACAGCTCTGGCCATCGCCCGGCGACTTGGCTACATCTCGGTGGTGGACACACTCAAGGTTGTCACCGAGGAGATCATTACCTCGACAACCGTGAGTCACACAACTATCACACAACTATCTCACTCCACTATCCCTAAAATAAAGCATTCACACACGGTTTAGCCTCTAAAGTTATAATGATCTTATTCTGTTTATGTTGTCTAGACGGTGACAGAGAAACACAAGTTGAACGTCCCTGAGACCATGACTGAAGTCCTAGATGTCTCTGATGAGGAGGGTGAGTTTGACCCTTGATCCAGTCGGTGGCTACTGTATATGACCACAACCATGTATAAAGACTATCATTCGAAACCTCAGTCCATTTATGTTTGACCTACTAGAACATCAGTTAACCCGACTTCATGTCCAACTTCAAATCCTGGCCCCAGTTTGCTGTAGACAGTGATCGACTAATAGGCTATCTCAGCAAGCCTTCCCCAAATCCTTCCCGATTTCCCCATTGCCCAATACTACACAAAAAAAAGGTGATATCTAGAGCTGTTCCCATATGAGAAACCTTTGAAGAATCCTTTTTGGTTCCAGGTGGAACCCTTTTGGGTTCCATGTAAAACCCTTTCCACAGAGGATTCTACATGGAACCCAAAAGGGTTCTACCTGGAACCAAAAAGGTTTTTTACCTGGAACCAAAAAGGGTTCTCCTTTTTTTCTGAGAGTCTAGTGTGTGTTGTGGTAGGCTAGTTTTCTCACTGTACTGTATACTGTATAGGCCTACATACTGTACCCACAGTGCTGAAAGAGAGTGAGGATGATGTTCTGTCCGATGACTCCATGGATTTAGAAGGTACACCGTGTGAAGGTTGCCGTGGTGATTACTATGGAAGAGTGTGTGACGGTTTGTTGTGGACATGGTAATTCGCATGGTGTGAGATTCCTCTGCGATGGTTGTGTAAAACAACCTGTCATGGATGAGTGGTTGAGAGGACATACTTGAACCTGCACTAACCTCACCTACCGATAGGGTTTGGATTCAAACATAGTGTGGTGAAACCAAGGTTGTGATATGCACATTTAGGCCCACTTCTCTAAATGTGGAATACTGGTTATCATTGCTGAAAGCATCAGTGCGGTCAACAAACCTTTATATTGACACTAGTGGTGGCTGTGTCCTTTTTAATGTCAATGCGACAGTGTTTTTGTTTTGTCACGCTTCTTAAAAATCAGCTAAGGGGAAGGGTGGTTTTTAAAGCGTTTTAATAGCATTTTCAGATCCACCACTTCAAGACATGTTCTGAGGACTTAAGAAATGTTGCCCCTGGACTAGAGTGCCATTAAACTTCTAGCAAAAAGACACCAATTAAAGTGGCATAAGCTTGTCTGTACAGAACCCTAGAAGATAGTTTCACCCTGAGTGTTGTCAGTTCAAAGCGGATTTCAAATCCCCACTCAGAATCACATGCCATGGCTGGGAGAGCCTGAATATGTAAGCTACGTTTGAAATGCTGCTAAGGGCTAACTTAACTTAAACCTCCTTGAAAACACATGTCAATGCTTTACTGATTAATTCTGTGTGGTTGATATTTATTAGCATTAGTGTGAATACTTTTTAAAGGCAGTTAGTTCCACTCTTCCAGGCTCTCTGTCATGGCTCATAGAGTTTGTGCGTTTATGGCCAATCTGGGTTTATGTGAACAGTCACCTCATTGACGTGGCAACGCATTACGGATATGGAAGATTTTTCTTTTTCCTGGCTCTTCCGGTTGCGCAGTGAATTCACTTTACTTCTCGAAGGAAACTTGGATTATATGAGTGGAGTGGTTGGCAGTTATTTTGGTGGAAAAAAGGACACACCTCGTTAATAGTTGTGTTTTGGAAGCTGTCAGAAGAGGATCGGGTTTGGTTTGCAGACTATGTGGCTGTTCTAACCGACATTTCTTGGTATTGGATGTGTTGTAAATAACATTGCTTTGTGAGTACTTCTTCACAACACTCATCTTCTAGCTTACTTACTCTTACAGTTGTGGTGCTACTGTGCAAATTACTAATCATAGTGATCATGCGATTATATTGTACCTCCTTTCCTGTGTAATTCTTCATTCTCCAGGCAGTGGTTATGCTATTGACACAGGAGCATCTCTATCAGGCTACAGTATGTTTTTCACTTGTTCTGCCAGCCCATCCTACAGTATGCTACCAGCTCCCCTTATGCACTTTTCACACAATGGTGCTAACCTGAACTGTACTGTACTGGTTGAGATATTTTTCTTTCACACTGCCCTTTCCAGTTCGGTTCCGCTAATTTTGGTGGGGGTGGTGGATGCGTAACCAGGCCAGCACAGTACAGCTCGACTCAATTTGGTTCAGCGCTGTAGTGGGAAAAGGGTATTAGTGACTCTGCCCCCTGCTGTCCAGTAGTGGTAACAGCAGCAGTAGAGCTTTTTGACGTTGGTCACAAGGCAGTGATGAGCTGTGTCTCCCAGCTCATTTGTAATGCTTCAGTAACTGTAAGCGCTTATATCTGATGACAAAAAGGAAAGATGGCGTCTGCATGTGTGTGTGACTGTGCGTATGTGTGTCACTAAGCCTCACGTTGACACACACACCCTAGGTAAGGGCTGGCCCCTGCGTGTATGTATGTGTGCTAACCGTAGTCACTCCTTCTGAGTGTGCATCACATCACAATGTCCTCCTCCCCCGTAAAGTCCCATATTCTCTTCCACGTATCTCACCTGCCTCCCTCTCTCCTCCAGGTGATGACACGATGACAGGGGACGGAGGGGAGTACTTGAGGGCAGAGGACCTGAGGGAACTGGGAGATGACTCCCTGCCTGGACAGTACCTGGATGGGATGAACTACCTGCGCTTTAGTCTGGAGGGGGGACACTCTGACAGGTAGAGTATACACACCTGATGAAGGGAGAAGGGTGTGTGCCTGTGTGTGTGTGTGTGTGTGTGAGTGTGTGTGTGTGTGCCTGTGCGTGTGTGAGAGAGAGAGTGTATGATCTAATTTGTGGTGAATGCACTAATGTTTGTGAAGTTTCTGATGAATTTCAACACATTTTTCTTCCTCCTTACCATGCTTACCTAGTCGAATACAAAGGTATGTGATATACATGCTATTGTCTCTCTATGATTGAGTTAGTCCACATCCATTGCAGAACTACTGTAGTAGTTTTGAAGCAGTTTCTTGTAGTACTACTCTGTCTATCGCCTTCCATTTGTCCTTGATTTTACAGTAGTTTACTTGTGCCATGTCTCATGGATAGATTTGTGCCATATTGGGTGGTGAACACTGTTTTAGCTGTGTGTGATGTTTCCATGGCTACCTACGTCACCTTTTCCTCCTCTCCTCAGTTCGGACAGGTCCTACACTCCCAGTCACCATGGTTACTACTCTCCCAAACATGAAAGCATGATGGAGGAGATGCTCACCAGCCAGAACGTAAGTAAAGAGTTAAACCTCTCACATCCACTACTGTAAAGGGATGAACCAGGCCTTGAGTCTTAATCATCTACTGCACCAAAACATATTGTGCATGCTATGCATTGCTCAAAGCAGTTGCTCTGCTCAATACAGAAAATATATTACTTTGATTCATAGGGTCATAATGTTTTGATATTTAATAATTCCTGTTTTGGAATGTAGAGAGCACTCTTAGAAATGTACTGTATTTGACTGTAGATCATACAAAGTGTAAGTTAGAGTTTAGATGCTCAAGTCTTTACTATGACCGTTACTGTCTATCTAGGGACGGGTACTGTAAAGTACTGCAAACTAACGTGTTATGGTGCAATGCATCTTACTGTTGTAAATTGCAATGTGTCAATGTTATTGCATCTGTCCCTACTCAAATAAAAAATAAATAAATAAAAAGTTAAGGTGCAGTGTTTGTGTGTGTAACTGACGGTTGGCTGTGGCATGTCCTTAACAAGTAGCTCTTTGTTGGTTGCCAGGTGTCGTCTCTTGCCAGGGAAAATGAAAAGGATTTGTATCGTCTGAGTTGGGGCACAGAAAATCTGGACAATGTGGCACTGTCCTCCAGCCCCATCCACTCTGGGTAGGTACAGCGGGCACTGCGAGCACACAGAAGGGTTGAGCTTTAACTATCAAAACATTCAAAAACCTCATTTGGTACAAAATCTGCTCTAACCCATCCTGAATACATGTATCCCTTGAGCCTAATGCATTCAGCCCTGTTCAACAGCCACTAGTGCAATGGCGGGTCCAGGCACCTCATGTGGAGATATTTTTTTTGTTATTTTTTTTTGTTATGAGAACAGAATCACAATCTTTTGTAATCCTACTTTAAAGCCCATCTGTTAAGCGGCTTTGGGTGATAACCATATGAAGAGCAGTAATGGACAATGTTAGGACTCATTATAGACATATTAGTCTAATGCATTGTTATACGAAGATACCCTGTCATCCTCTAGCTAACTATCTCTGCCATGCTAATTGGCAACAATGACGGAAGATAATCCCTCTTAGTTATAATGACACAAGTCCCGAATCAGTCATTTAAGGCCGCTGAGAGTGTCTCTAAGTACTGCTTTAGGACAAGCAATACGACAAACAATTTGGAACATTGATCATTGTCCAAGGCGCTGAGGATTCTGGTCCACAGGGATGGGGAGTATAGTTTATTTTCTTCTCTTTCAGCCCTAGAGACCCTTTCTTTATTTCCCTATCTATCTTTATATCTCCAGTGCCTTCGGAAAGTATTCAGACCCCTTGACTTTTTCCACATTTTGTTACGTTACAGCCTGATTCTAAAATGGATGAAATAAAACATGTTCCTCATCAATCTACACACGATACCCCATAATGGCAAAGCGAAAACTGGTTTTTAGAAATTTTTGCAAATGTATAAAAGATAAAAAACTGAAATACTTTATTTATATAAGTATTCAGACCATTTTGCTATGAGACTCAAAATTTAGTTCAGGTGCATCCTGTTTCCATTGATCATCCTTGAGATGTTTCTACAACTTGATTGGAGTCCACCTATGATAAATTCTATTGATTGGACATTATTTGGAAAGGCACACACCTGTCTATATAGGGTCCCACAGTTGACAGTGCATGTCAGAGCAGAAACCAAGCCATGAGGTCGAAGGCAATGTCCGTAGAGCTCCAAAACAGGATTGTGTAGAGGCAGAGATCTGGGGAAGGGTACCAAAAAATGTCTGCAGCATTGAAGGTCCCCAAGAACACAGTGGCCTCCATCATTTTAAATAGAAGAAGTTTGGAACCACCAAGACTCTTGCTAGAGCTGGCCACCTGGGAGAAGGGCCTTGGTCAGGGAAGTGACCAAATACCCGATGGTCACTCTGACGGAGCTCCAGAGTTCCTCTGTGGAGATGGGAGAACCTTCCAGAAGGACAACCATCTCTGCAGCACTCCACCAATCAGGCCTTTATGTAGAGTGGCCAGACGGAAGCCACTCCTCAGTAAAAGGCACATGACAGCCCGCGTGGAGTTTGCCAAAAGGCTCCTAAAGGACTCTCAGACCATGAGAAACAAGATTATCTGGTCTGATGTAACCAATACTCGTTGGCCTGAATGCCAAGCATCACGTCTGGAGGAATCCTGACACCATCCCTACGGTGAAGCATGGTGTTGGCAGCATCATGCTGTGGGGATGTTTTTCAGCGGCAGGGGCTGGGATACTAGTCAGGATCGAGGAAAAGATTAACGGAGCAAAGTACAGAGAGATCCTTGATAAAAACCTGTTCCAGCGCACTCAGGACCTCAGACTGAGAAGATTCACCTTCCAACAGGACAATTACCCTAAGCACACAGCCAAGACAACGCAGGAGTGGCTTCGGGACAAGCCTCTGAATGTCCTTGAGTGGCTCAGCAAGAGCCTGGACTTGAACCCGATCTAACATCTCTGGAGAGACCTGAAAATAGCTGTGCAGCGACGCTCCCCATCCAACCTGACAGAGCTTGAGAGGATCTGCAGAGAAGAATGAGAGAAACTCCCCAAATACAGGTGTGCCAAGCTTGTAGCGTCATACCCAAGAAGACTCAAGGCTGTAATCGCTGCCAAAGGTGCTTCAACAAAGTACTGAGTAAAGGATCTGAATACTTATGTAAATGTGATATTTCCATGTTTTTTTTAAAAATAAATTTGTCATTATGGGAAATTGTGTGTAGATTGATGAGGGGAAAAAACAATTTAAATATTTTTAGAATAAGGCTGTAACGTAACAAAATGTGAAAAAGTCAAGGGGTCTGAATACTTTCAGAATGCACTGTTTGATGAATGCACTGTATCTTTCTTTCTTTCTATCTCACTCTCTCTCTCTCTCTCTCTCATGGGGTCTCTGTTCTGTTTTCAGCCGTTCCTCTCCGTGCCATGATCATGGCGACAGCAGGTGATCTACTGCACCTTGGTTTCCTCCTCTTCATCCTCGTCTTCACACTCCTCCTTTCTTTCACAGTGTGCTCTCCTTCTAGAGAGATGTGTGTGTTTGTTTGTGTTGTTGTTTCACAAATGCCTGTCTTGCGAGTGCAGCACTACTAACAGATGTTGCCCATGTTCCACTATTCCCCTGTTTTAGCTTTTGATCACATGGACATTTGTCAACTTTGATATTCATTTTTACACAGGCCTCTTTATAGGGGACTAATTCCACTTTTTTTAGATGGAAGATATCATTTGCTCCTAGTGCTGCATCAAAGAGTCACACACATTGCCTCATCATCATTGGTAGCCATTGTGTCCATCTTGGTTGAATCCTGTTGACTCATGGTGGCCATTTTGTTTGTTGTTTAACTGTGTTTGGTCGATTCACAGCTGCAAGGTCTAGGGCTCTATTCAATCAGATATGCTTTAGCCGACATCCGTATAGCGGTTGTTTTGACGGTGTCAGAGCTTGAGGTGGAACTGTGTTAGAACTGTTAAATCCACAAGCGGCTCCTGGCATTATAGCCTACCTAAAGTGGACATCGCCATTGGCTGCACAGAGTCGCATTGAGAAAGGTCCCATTCAGCCTTGTTAACAAATTCGAACACTGGAATGTGAGATGTAATCTTCACCTCGATTAGGCTGATAGAAATCCTCATTATTTAGTTGAATGATTTTCAATTTGAGCGTCATTATTTATTTATAGCCTATACTTTCTCGTTCTGGACTTCTAACACAAGTGGGATGGGCGTGGCTTCGTGACACTGCCAAAACATCAGCTATGCGGGTATCGACTATCGCCGGTTAACGCTTGATCTGATTGAATCTAGGCCCTTGTGTTTGTGTGTTTGATATAACCAGTCTCCATGTTTGACTCTGTGCCGTATTGTTCAGTCTGCGTGTTGGAGTGTTATTTTAATGGTTTGTTTGCTTTACCATAACATACTGGTGTCACAGGTGAAGCACGTTAGCAGCTCTCTGACATTAGCCGTAACAGTATGTGGCGTCACACCCATTCCCCTCTCACTCACAGTCTGGTGTTTGTGCATGTAGGTGTGCAGTGAAACTGTAATTCTTATGTTTGTGTGTTTTAACATGGATTCATATTTGTCTGTATATTTTCAAATAAAAAAAAATCTTATTTTGCTGAAAGTTATGTAAGCTGTCTGTGTAAAGGGAAAGTACAAAGATATACTGTATTTGTCGCAATGCTTAAAAATATATTTATCTTCAGTTTGTAAACATCACATCTGCCCCCGTCCGTTCCCTTCCCAGCTTCCTGGTTAGCTTCATGGTGGACGCCAGGGGCGGAGCCATGCGGGGTTGCCGCCACAACGGCCTGCGCATCATCATCCCGCCGCGGAAGTGCAGCGCGCCCACGCGGGTGACCTGCCGGCTGGTGAAGAGGCACCGCCTGGCCACCATGCCCCCCATGGTGGAGGGAGAGGGCCTGGCCAGCAGGCTTATCGAGGTGGGGCCCGTCGGAGCCCAGTTCCTCGGGTAAGAAAATATGGGATGGAGGGAGGGGGTAAGAGTGTGAAAGAGAGAGGAAGGAGTATAGAGGGGCATGATGTCAGAGAGGGAGAATGAAAGGGAGCGATGTGATGTCAGAGATTATGATCTATGTTGTGAGAGTCCAAGACAAGAGTGTGTGAGGTGAGAATGCTACGAGAGAAAAGGAAGAGAGACGGTGTGTGTTCGTCAAAGGACACTGTAGGCCTAATGTATGAATGAAAACCTGAGAATGTTGCTGCCCCTCTTCCTTTTGTCAGATTAATTTCACCCTGCCTCTGCCTTACTAAAACGGTCTATGCTCTTTGCTTCTTCCCAGTGCCAGGGGCCTTGCTTGTTTTCTTTTTAAACAGCCAGGCCGCATTCTAGCTCTAACTCAACCCTTTTTTGGAAACTAACTGTTTCTATAAGACACATGGAAACAAAAAACTCCACAAGGAAACAGAAAACTGCAAAATAATATTGCTCCATGATTGATTTGATATGTAGGTTACCACTAAGAGAGGCTGTCTACCAATAATATATCACTGCCCCCTGGTGGTGAAGTTCATAATAACTTCCACTTTGAAAGCTCTGTGTATTTAAAGCCCTATGTATTTACCATGATGTCTTGATGACGGCCTCCACTCCACTCAGCCAAAAGGCTTTCACAAAGTCCAACTAGTCACCCGTTATTCTGACTACTTCCGCTCTCTCTCCCCCACTGCTGCTAACGGACGGTTGGTCTCACAGTAAACTGCACCTTCCCACTGCCCCGCCCCCTCTTAACGAGGGTGAGAGCCTCGTTAGCCGCATCCTGCAGCTCGGGCCACCCGGGACAAAATTCCTCGGGTAGGGGAAACAAAACATATGAAACAATCCATGGATGCTACTGGTTCCGTTTTATAAACTCCTCCTTTTATATTTCGACTCTCTGTGATATGTTGTGTCTGTGACCTCACCTGTATGCTATGTGTGCTAGTGTCGTGCTGGGCCCGGTTTCCCAAAAGTTCATTGTTAGAACCTTCGTAGGAGCATCGTTAAATCTCCAAGCTGTTTCCCAAAACCATCGTTATTAACGTTTGCACTTGAAAACGCTTGTAATCTAACGCCTGCCTCAGACCACTCTTAGAACAGCTAAGTGCGTCTTTAGAATCACATGGTTTATCCGTCTCTCTGACCGCTTCAAAAAAGAAGTTGACTACAAATACAAAGTTGCCAATGTTTTTGCAATTGATACAAACAAGTGACGGATAAAAAGATGCCTCAAATGAAAACCGAGACGACTCCATTAAAATATAAACCGTAGGGTATGGGCCTATTTCAATCATATTTAAAATACCTTTTAATGTTCAATCAATTGAGTTCTATTTTGATGCTTGTAAGCTGCTGTCTGTAATTTGTCTCAATGTATTTCATGATGTGTAGTCTAACATGTGCACAATAGTGTACCAAATCGGTGATTTAGTGCATATTTATTGGGTAAAGCATTTGAATAAGCCGCCTCAATATTTGCAGCCGTAGGTGGGAATATCTCTCTAGTAGCTGATCCGTCATCAGTTTTGTGAAATAATTATAATATTAAGGTAAGATTTAAATGGAGAAAGCTGATCCGAGAGCAGCGCTCCCTTTCTTTCGATCGTATCAGTATCGACACATGCTCCAATGACGCACTTAGCGACCATGGTGTTTTGGGAAACGCATGTTACATCTTCGGCCGTTGTAGGAAAGATGCATTGTTAAAGCACTTGTAAGCTTAAGTTCCATCGCTATCGGGAAACCGGGCCCTGGTGACTTGCCCAACTTGCGATCTCTGTCGTAGCATCCCAGACACTACACACATTGTATGTTTGTTTTGTTCCCAGTTACCTTTCGGCTCCTTACCTTGTGGTTGGCTTTCTATGTTTAGTGCTGTCTGTCTGCCTGTTCAACCTCATGGTTTTATTGGTTCATTTGGTATCTTGCTGGATGTTTAGCATGACTGTCCCATAGGCATTTGTAGTTGACACACTGTACTGTGCTCATCAGGTGAGTTGTTAGAAATGTGGTTGCTTACACACACTCTTTACACACACACACACGCATATACACACACCGTGACCCTCCCATACACACATAACCCCCCATCTCCACCCACACACACACACTCACCGTGCTCCCTGTCCCTGGTTGCAGGCCTGTAGTCGTGGAGATCCCTCACTTCGCTGCCCTGAGGGGGAAGGAGAGGGAGCTGGTGATCATGAGGAGTGAGACAGGAGAGAGCTGGAAGGAGCACCACTGTGAACACACCGAGGAGGAGCTCAACCAGATCCTCAACGGCATGGACGAAGGTGAGTGTGATGTCATCAACGCGAGACAACACTTAGTGATCGTCATCATTAGAGGCCATTGCCAAGAGGCCCTGTTCAAATACTTTGGAGAAGCATTCCCTCCTGCCTCCCTTTCTTGGAGTATTCACTGATCTAAAATGGCTGGATAGGTCAAAGCAAGGATTTCACTATATAGCTTACTCCAACCCAGTCATGTGAGCAGTGATTACTCCAAGGAGGGAGAAAGGAAGAACTCATTGTCAAAGTATTTCAACAGAGCCATAATCTGAATCAATGTCAAATGAACCACCATTCCTTCTGTCCTCCTCTCCAGAACTGGACCCTCCAGAGGAACTGGAGAAGAAGCGTATTTGCCGCATCATCACCAGGGACTTCCCACAGTACTTTGCGGTGGTGTCCCGGGTCAAACAGGACAGTAACCTGATCGGTCCAGAGGGGGGCATCCTCAGCAGCACGGTGGTGCCTACGGTCCAGGCGGTCTTCCCAGAGGGAGCACTCACCAAGAGGATCAAAGTGGGACTACAGGTCATTTAGTTCAAATACTCTCTTCATAAAGCGATAACAACATTTCATTTGAGTGTCTGTAAAATGTTCTAGACTTATTTTCCCAAGTAATGGGGAGCTATGGCATGAGCGGCTGTCAGGAGAAGTTATTATCAAAAAGAATGACACGTTGCTTTATTCTGAGGCAGAGCTTAAATGGAGCAAAGGTTAAATACGTTGAGTATTTTATGATTACTACACTGTCATCATGTTTTATCAACATTATAATCCATGTTTTAACGCCAAAGCCGATCCAAGGGATCTCTAATGTCAATCTTACCTGTCATCTCCAGGCTCAGCCAATGAACGTGGACGTGGTGAAGAAGCTCCTGGGGAACAAGGCAACGTTCAGCCCCATCGTGACCCTGGAGCCCCGGAGGAGGAAGTTCCATAAACCAATAACCATGACCATCCCCATTCCCAAGAGTAACACTGACCCTGTGGTCAACGGCTTCGGAGGGGACCAGCCCACCCTGCGCCTGCTCTGTAGTATCACAGGTTAAAGAGAGGGTGGATTGAACGCACACACAGATATATACATACATACTGTACACTCACACTGACTCACTCACACACACACTGCAGGGGGACACACAAACTATGATGTCTGTAGCTAACCTTCTAATATTTTTCAATTGTATTCTTCTTCAAAGGTGGAACGACGCCAGCCCAATGGGAGGACATTACAGGAACCACGCCCCTAACGTTCATCAACGACTGTGTCTCCTTCACGACCAACGTGTCGGCCAGGTTCTGGCTGATAGACTGTCGGCAGGTGCAGGAGTCAGTCAACTTCTCCACTTCGGTCTACAGGGAGATCATCTGTGTTCCCTACATGGCCAAGTTCGTCATCTTCGCCAAGACCCACGACCCCATTGAAGCGCGGCTCCGCTGCTTCTGTATGACTGACGACAAGATGGACAAGACCCTCGAGCAGCAGGAGAACTTCACAGAGGTGGCCAGGAGCAGAGACGTAGAGGTGGGTGTCATAGTAGAGGTGTGGTCGAGGGCTGGGAGGGATGTACCTTTAAACTCAATCTTTCTGTGGTGTTCCCTTTTGAAAATAATGTATTCTCCTGTGAAAGGTGTAGTAAACTGCCAGTAAAGTGGGAAGGTTTAGTAAATCAGACCGTAGATGACTAACAGGGAAGGGTTTGGCATGTTTCTATGTGTCTGATGTGTGCTTCTCCTCAGGTCCTGGAGGGCAAACCCATCTATGCAGACTGCTTTGGCAACCTGGTCCCTCTCACTAAGAGTGGCCAGCACCACCTCTTCAGCTTCTTTGCCTTCAAAGAGAACAGGCTGGCACTCTTCATCAAGGTGAGTATTACTGGGCCATCCTTCATACACTCTTCCATATCATTTACTTTATTACAAACTAGTCATGTATCGTAAACTGTATGTTAATAGGTCGGTTGCTGACGATAATGATGTTGATGATTCCACAGATCCGAGACAACACTCAGGATCCGTGTGGCCGTCTGTCCTTTATGAAAGAGCCCAGGTCTTATAGAAGTCTGGCCCACAACGCCATATGCAACCTGAACATCACACTACCATCCTACTCAAAGGTAAGAACACCGTAACATGACCTCCACCTGAACACAGCCTAGGATACAGCTAGGACAAACAGATCACCGACCCTTTCGATTCCCACCGTACCTTCTCCGCTATGCAATCCGGTTTCCGAGCTGGTCATGGGTGCACCTCAGCCACGCTCAAGGTCCTAAACGATATTATAACCGCGATCGATAATAGACAGTACTGTGCAGCCGTCTTCATCGACCTGGCCAAGGCTTCCGACTCTGTCAACCACCGCATTCTTATTGGCAGACTAAATAGCCTTGGTTTCTCAAATGACTGCCTCGCCTGGTTCACCAACTACTTCTCAGATAGAGTTCAATGTGTCAAATCGGAGGGCCTGTTGTCTGAACCTATGGCAGTCTCTATGGGGGTGCCACAGGGTTCAATTCTTGGGCCGACTCTTTTCTCCGTGTATATCAATGATGTCGCTCTTGCTGCTGGTGACTCTCAGATCCAGCTCTACGCAGACGACACCATTTTGTATACATCTGGCCCTTCATTGGACACTGTGTTAACAAACCTCCAAACGAGCTTCAATGCCATACAACACTCCTTCAGTAGCCTCCAACTGCTCTTAAACACTAGTAAAACTAAATGCTAAATGCATGCTCTTCAATCGAATGCTGCTGGCACCCGCCCACCCGACTAGAATCACTACTCTCGACGGGTCTGACCTAGAGTATGTGGACAACTACAAATACCTAGGTGTCTGGTTAGACTGTAAACTCTCCTTCCAGACTCACATTAAGAATCTCCAATCCAAAGTTAAATCTAGAATCGGCTTCCTATTTCGCAACAAAGCCTCCTTCACTCATGCTGCCAAACATGCCCTCGTAAAACTGACTATCCTACCGATCCTTGACTTCGGCGATGTCATTTACAAAATAGCCTCCAACACTCTACTCAGCAAATTGGATGTAGTCTATCACAGTGCCATCCGTTTTGTCACCAAAGCCCCATATACTACCCACCACTGTGACCTGTACGCTCTTGTTGGCTGGTCCTCACTACATATTCGTCGCCAAACCCACTGGCTCCAGGCCATCTATAAATCACTGCTAGGCAAATCCCCACCTTATTTTAGCTCATTGGTCACCATAGCAACACCCACCCGTAGTATGCGCTCCAGCAGGTATATCTATACCCCAAAGCCAACACCTCCTTTGGCCGCCATTCCTTCCAGTTCTCTGCTGCCAATGACTGGAACGAATTGCAAAAATCTCTGAAGCTGGAGACTCTTATCTCCCTCACTAACTTTAAGCATCAGTTGTCAGAGCACCTTACCGATCACTGCACCTGTACACAGCCCATCTGAAATTAGCCCACCCAACTACCTCATCCCCATATTGTTATTTATTTTGCTAATTTGCACCCCAGTATCTCTATTTGCACATCATCTCTTGCACATCTATCATTCCAGTGTTAATACTAATTGTAATTATGTTGCACTATAGCCTATTTATTGCCTTACCTCCATAACTTGCTACATTTGCACACACTGTATATATATATATATTCTGTTGTATTTTTGACTTTATGTTTTGTTTACCCCATATGTAACTCTGTGTTGTTGTTTTTATCGCACTGCTTTGCTTTATCTTGGCCAGGTCGCAGTTGTAAATGAGAACTTGTTCTCAACTGGCTTACCTGGTTAAATAAAGGTGAAATAAAAAATAAAATAAAAGGACCTGGAATTGTTCCTGACCATGTGACCTTACCAGTAAAAATCTGGGTCCTGTATAGCACACCAACAGTTACCATTGCATGCCTGAGTGTTCACCGTTGCTGACTTAAGTCAAATAGATTGATTGACTTGTGTATTCAAGAATAACTGAGCATTTCCCACAGGTGCATGAATACTTTCTTAACAGTGTGTTGCTTGCATACTAACATGTCAAATCTGCACATGTGACATGCTCATAGCATGCTATCTTCCTTCACATTTTTATTGGTGTTTTATTGGGGTCATAACCTGTTTGTATTCTCAAAATCATTTGTACACCTTTTAACTGTGATTGATTTACTATAAGCAACCAGCATTACAATATGTGAGTGCTGGTAGCTGTCTTATAGTATAGCATGAATCCCTTCTCCTTTGAGAGGTCTTTCAGGTTTACTCTGACCCCGACACCCTCCCCATAACAACATTGATCGGCCACAAACCTTCAAGTCTGTCGCTATGGTAACATTGCTTTGCCTACTCTCTTTTTTTCCATCTTTCTCTATTTGTCTGTCTGTCTCGCTCTTTCTGCTTCTTGCTGCTTTTTGCACCCCAAAGGAATCTGATTCAGACCAAGAGGCTGAGGAAGAGGTAATATTGTGCCCCTCTTCTCCCCCACTAACTGGTTATTTTTTCATGTCTTTTTTTTTCCCAGGCCAGAAACGTGTCACTAGATGTTCACTATTGTGTCTGTCATTTAGCTCTATGTTAGGTATTAGAAAGGAAGGCAATGCATACTCCATGCTACTGCTCATCAATCTGCTTGTCACTTGTAGCAGAGTATCCATCTTTAGATATTAGTCTTATTCATCAAGATAGTAGTTCTATGTCCAATTACTTATTTTCTTATTGTAGCAAAGGTAGCAAATGTGTACAAAATATTGCCTACATTTTTCTTACACAGTGATTGAAATGGTATTAATAGTGAGTGCAATTTTTGTATTCCTCTTTACAGATCAGCAGGACGCTCGAGAAATGTAAGTAATTTACTATTTGATAACACTTTTAACTGCTTTTTTCTAAACTATACCAAAACTTTATAGTCTTGCTATTTAACTTGTAACTGTTATAATATGGCTGCATTACTCAACCAATTGAATATGACATTGCTTTGCCACAGATTTAGACATTACCAATGATGTTAAGCTAGTTGACTATTGTAGAAAGCAATACAGAATGATAACCAGAGCTAATGAATAAACATTGTGCTTCATATCACCCTTATTAGCTAAGCTGTTACACACGCGCTTCTTTTTCAAAGCCCTTTAAACTTCTACATGTTTGTCTTTGTCACAAAAACAAAACAACACAAATGTCACCCCACCCCACCAAGCCAAGGTTATGCCAACAACTTCATCAGTCATAAACTTCTTCACTTTCTCATTTCACACATCACTGCACCAGTGTCTTCATGTTAACTTTCTCCTCTGCCATTTTCAATTTGGGACACATTGAGAGAGAGTTGAAACTGAGATACTACGCACATAAATCAAACTCTCATTCATATTGTGGTAATGTTTATGTGACAACGGAATATTGTCCCCCAAGTTCCTGTAGTACCTGAATGGCAAAGCAAACTAGTCTAGCTTTCTACCCTCCAGATCCCCTCGTTCATACCCTGTCCATGTAGTGTGTAATATTTTCCCTTTGCCTCTAATGAATTAATGAATTAATCATTAATCATGGTCAAGTGACTCAGCATAGCTGGCTGGATATCTACATATGTGTGGCACTTTATACAATATATAGAATATGGAAAATATTGCTGGGTGCACATACCTTCAAAACAAACTGTACATGTACAGTAGTACATACATTATACATAAACTGATGTTATGTATGTTATTTGTTCAATTTGGCTTCATTACATCGGACAATGTATGCATGATGAATGTGGCAATTTGCATACACATGTAATATGGAATTGATGCTTTAGATTCACCATTCGCAGTTGTAGACTATGAGAAAACAGTAGACGACATTTCACCACACTATTGAATGGGAATACCTAAATGAACCACTCTTGATAAAGACAAAATGCAGACGTGCTAGTGGTACGTTTTAGTTCTTTATTACCTAAATCACTTTACATTTGCCCCACTCACTTTTCACTAGAGGTTGCATGTCAACTTTCCCCTTTGCTTTGCATGGAAATAACTTGGCTTACATGAGTGTGTATGTGTGTTCCTGTGTCTGGGTGTGTGTCAAGTGTGAGAGTTCTTTTGACTCTTTGCTTTAACATTGATCTTTGAATTCCTTTTCACTCACTATTTGAATTTTATTTAATACACTGTTGCTCTTAATATAATTTAAAATGTTCTCTTCAGTTATGTTTCAAAAGTGTATTTAGCTAGACCAAAGTTAGTATAAGGAAGGGATACAGTCCTCTAAAAGACCACAAGCCCTTCCCTTAAATCAATTATGCTTTTCCTGTTAATTTCCTTAAATTAGTTTACCAGTTTGATGCTGGTTCAGAACCCTTTATTTTCCATAGCAGTAGAGGAACAAAATGGTTTGTTCTGTTCAATAGCAAAGAGCACAGCAAACCATTGCCTAACAGTTTGCTATCACTGGCTTTCTTCTCAGAGGGCAAAATAGCATTTTAAAATTTTTTATTTAATTTTTTTTCTCTCTGTAAACAATCTTGGGATGTCTGTCTACCTATATGTTGTTATCCATTTGTTTGTTTGTGTCCCTGTTTCCTTATCCTTTGTTGATTTGTCTGTGTCTGTTCTTGCTCATAGTTTGTTTGATAGTGTACTTATTTTAGATTTGTTCTCGCTTTTGTGCTGTGAGCGTGGGTGTGCTGACTATGTGTATAAGCAAGTTATTTCCTGCTCATTCCCTTCCCATCTTTATGATTTAGTTGGCTTTTTGCTTTGCTGCAGTATTTGTCCGCAAAGAAACCAAGTGGATCCAAACCCCCTTTCTTTGATACCTTCTGTAGTTGCCACTGTGGCCCTGCTTTACCCTTTGAACCCTGACAGTTTGTACTGTTCCTGTCCTGACCACATTCTCCAATGTCTGTCTCCTTTTCATTTCAATTTATTATTATTTTGCTCCTTAATTATCCTCTTGCCAAAATGGAAGATGACGAAGACGCTACATCAACGGAGACTACAGTCCAGAAGAGAGATTTGATCCGAGATTCTACGGCTCTGGCCAGTCCGGACCTCCTCTCCGATGTGTCTGAGATGAAACAAGACCTGATCAAAATGACCGCCATCCTAACCACAGATTCCACAGAAAAATCCAGTTCCATGGAAGGGAGCGGTCTGGAAAAAGGGGCTGAGGAGGTTCAGGGCGAGCCGTTTGAAATCATGGAGAAGGTCAAAGAGGATTTGGAGAAAGTGGGCAAGATACTTAGGAGCGGAACATATGAGGGTGAGGTGGCAAAGGAGGTGGCAAGAGCAGCCAGAATGAAAGAAGAGTGGGTCCTCCTCTCAGACTGTGAGATAGAGGAGGCCAAACATATGGCTGCCTTAGAACCCCAGGAACCCATACTACGTGAAGTCAGAGTCAACAGAGGGATTCCCAGACCTAAAGCCATCAAAGACGTGTCCGGGATGGTCACACACCTGAGTGGTGAACTCAAAGAATATCTCCTGGATGTACCTGAGGGCACCAGTACAACAGCCCAGGGGGAAGTGGTCCAAGAGAAATTCACAGAGGTAGTCCTGCGCAAAGGCGCAAAAAGAACCATGACAACAACAACAACAAAAACAACAACAACTACAACAACAAAGAAGGACATCAAAACTCCTGCTTTTGACCTAAACAAGCCAGTCAGGAGGAAAGGAAAGGACCAGGAACAGGCAGAGGAATCTACCGATGGGGATGCTCTCCTTAGCGCACCCAAAGACCCTAAACCAGTGTCACCTGTGTCCCCAGTAGTAGAGGAGACCCCCATTGGGTCCATAAAAGACAAAGTCAAAGCCCTTCAGCAGAAAGTGGAGGCAGAGCAAAAGGGCCGAAAGCCAACTAGCACCAAACCTTCAAATGTTGCTGTGGAGAGCAAAATACCAACAAAAGGTCAAAGAAACCACCCCGTCACAGAGCCCCGCAAAACAGGGCACCGCTAAACAGGGCCCACTTAAGTCCCCCAAAACTGAGTCTGAGAAGCTGGAGGAGACCATGTCAGTAAGGGAGCTCTTGCGATCCTTCCAAAAGGGGCAGGACCCCTCAAAGAGAAAGTCTGGGCTTTTCGAGCTCAAAACCACCTCTACAGAGCATGAAACAACAGAATCAGAATCACAGCCCACTCAGTCCAAATCCACCATCAAAGCCACGACAAGCCGTTACGAACGGGAAGTATCACTGGACGCCATACCTGGCGAGCCCCACAGAGAGAGAGACGAGCAAATTAGCCCACACCAAAAGCACTCCAAAGATTTTGGTGCTGAAATCAAAGCAAAGCTTGAGGACAATCCAGAGTACCAACAGTTTAGGCAGATCTCTGTAGAGGGTAGTCCTGCCCAGTCAGACTTAACTGAAATCGTAGAGTTTCCTAATTCTGCCCTCGATGATAGCTCTGATAGTTTAAAACATGAAGGCGTGGCAGACTCTCCCAGTGCCAGCCTGGGTGATTGTAGTCCTCATCATCTGAGCTCTGAGGATAGCCTCAAACACCAGGGCTTAGCAACTCCTGGAACAAGCCCTGACAGTCTCTCTTTCTCTCCCAGAAACGCTGACCAGTCCACTAAAAACTCAACAGCTGTTACTATAGCTGTCGAAGATGACAAGAAAAGTAAGGATAAGTCTGGAGACTCTGGTGTGGGGACCATTGATGACCAGCCATCAAATGAAATAACCCTCCCTGTCTCTTCCAGCAAGGCTGCAGACGACCGCACCACAAGTGAGTCCATATCTTTTCAGAGGGCTGAGTCTAAGCCCTCTAAACCGAGAAAGCTTACAAAGAGAGTTTCTGAGACTTTAGAGAACTTCCTTAGTGATGAGGAGAGCCCCGATGACAAGCTAGCCTCAGCCTTAGCTGCAACCATTGCTTCTAGTGCCTCTACCCAGCGTCAAGGAAACTTAGAACTGCCTTTAAGACAGCAAGACTCAGACGCTCTCAGTCCATTAGCGGACGACTCTTTGACCATAAGCCACAGAGACTCTCTAGACGAGGGTAGTCCCCTCATGGAAGACAACTCCTCCCATAGGACCCCAGACTCTATCGAGCCCAGCCCAACCAAGGAATCCCCTTGTCATGACTCCTTAGAGAGCAGCCCGGTAGAGCAAAAAACCTTCCCTCCTGCTCTAGATCAGCCCAGTGGGTCCTCTAGCCACCCAGAACCCTCCAATGCCCCAGACTTCCCCCCAGACGTGTTGCGTAGTAGGCTACTCAGGGACCAGGAGGCTAGTGCCAACGATGATGACAGTATCGAGCAGACTTTGTCCCAGATGGAAAGTTCCGGTAAGAGTCCTCTCTCCCCCGACACCCCTAGTTCTGAAGAGGTAAGTTATGAGGTAAACCCCAAAACCCCCGACCACATGTTCCTATCTGTGGTGTCCACACCAGCTGTCATAACCGAAGACTCAGAGGAAGATGATGATGAGTCAGAAGCACAGAGGAAATTCACTCCAGAGGAGGAGATGTTTAAAATGGCAGCCAAAATAAAAACCTTTGAGGAAATGGACCAGGACGCCAGAACCAAAACTAACTCTAGAAAATATATCAGTGCCTCAGCAGGTGACGAAGCAGGGGATGATAGCTTCAGAACAGTTGAACTAGAGTCCGCAAATGAGAGTGGGCTCACTGGGGCCAAAGGGACCTCAGAGTTAGCTCTTTCTGTTGAATCCCTTATTAAAGTACAACCTCCCTCTCCTTTTCCAGCAGGTGTGCATGAAGGAGTCCACCACACAGAGTCCAAGAGTGTAGCTACAATGGCAGCAGTAGAGGGACCACAATCTGTCTCAGAGCAGCATGTCTCACAATCAGTTCATTCACACAAACAAACAGACGACAAAGACAGTTTAGCTAAAATGGCTACCATGTCTTCCAGCTCTGAGGGGGCTGCAAACATAACCGATGAGCAGAAGGAGGAAAGCTTGAGGAAATCAAGGGGAAGCAAGGAGGATGATGGGGGAGGGAAAGAGGCAGATGCAGGCAGTCTGCAGACATCTGCTGTAAAGGCTCCCAGCCAGGTAGAGAGAAATATAACTGATGAAGTGAAAGGAGATTACAGGAGGCACTCAGGAGCCCCTGAGGCAGAAACGTCCTCCACCATCATTATCGGACAAGCGAAGGAAATGTTCAAACCTGAGATCTGTATCTATGACGACACAGAGGAAGACGATGAGGAAGAGGAACCTCCCAGAACCGAGTCAAAGGGCGTGACCGCCAACGCGGAGGCAGACCCCTGGAGCGCCATGCGTGAGGACGACGATGCTTTCACGGCCCGCGTCAAAGAGGAAGAGCAGAAGATCCTGGGTCTGATGGTGAACCAGCAGTCCCAGGGGGCAACCACGGACACGACCCCAGGAAGGAGCCCCACAGAGGAGAGCACGCCAACCAGCGAGCCCAATCCTTTCCTCTTCCAAGAGGGGAAGCTCTTCGAGATGACCCGCAGTGGCGCTATTGACATGACCAAACGGACCTATGAGGACGAGGGCTTTTACTTCTTCCAGATAGGAGAGCATCCTCTAGAGGAGGCGCTGTCTGAACAGGTCAGAGAAGAGCCAGGAGATAGAGCAGCCCCATTAGACAGTGAAGTGGGTCTCAACCTGACTCTAGAGATAAAAATGGAAGATGAGAAACAACCTAAAGATGCTTCAGAGGACGATCAGACAGGTAGCGGGGCTGCAGCAGCCTCCCCTTCTAAATCAGACGCCTCTAAATCTAGAATCCCTAGAATGGGTCTTTCCGCCTCAGCTAAGATCACTAAGAAAGACAAAGACTCAGTATCCCCAGTATCTCCTGAGGCTTTAGAAGTTAAACCAGATTCAATTGTAGAGGAGACCCCCCTAGAGGTAGAAAATAGTTCCCCAGACCCAATGATAGCTAATGTTGAGACAGCAGTAACTGTCACTCGATCAGTGTACCCTGAACAAGACCAAGAGTCCTCTGACTCCTCTCCCGAGGAGCAGCATTCAGTTATAGAACTCCCCAAAACCATGGAAAAGACCAAAACCCCAACTTCTAGTGAAAAAGTGAAAAAGATCCCAACTAAAACCCCAGCTATAGCTCCAGCCAAGGCTGGCTCCCAAAGTCGGATTAAAACTTCTTCCTCCTCTACATACCCTACATCCCCCTATTCAGCAACTCTTAAAAAAGAGACCCCCTCTGCAGAGTCTAAATCGAGAATACCTGTCAAAGGCAAGGCTAGCCCTGTCAAGCCTGAGCCATCAGTTAAACATACTGTGTCTTCCCAGGACACAAAGCTCAAGGTCCCAGTAAAAAAGGACTCGAGGAGAAAGTCTGAGACAGATGCAGGTCTCTCTGCAGTTCCCAAAACCAAGACTTCGTCTTCCAAAGCCAAGAGCTTCTGTGAGGGAGACAAGACATCTGCTAAAAAGGGCCAGGTTCGTCCCATGAGCACTGATTACTCCACCAAGCCCAAGTCATGCTTCGGCTTCCAATCCAGGCTGCCAGTTAGAGGCAAGCTTGGTCAGCCATCCAACAATTACCACCCCCGCCAAAGAGAAAAGCAAGCCGCGCAAGAAGTCCACCGAGTTTGTCGATGAGATTAGTGACGAAGCGGCAAAGCTGGTTGAGAGATTGGCTCAGGCCGAGAAAGACAAAGAGCATGAGGCTGCCATCTCGGATGACGAGAGCAGTGGCATAGACCCCTCCGTCATAGAGAGGGAGACTTTTCCCGAAATGCATTTCCCTACTTCCGGAGACGTCTATCCCATTAGACCCCTGTGGGACGACCCTGTTGACACGCAGATGCAACGAATTCCCAACGATACAGTCAGAAGTCAAGGTACCCCCCTCCTCACGGGGCTCATTCTCTCTATATTGTACCTCGCTAGCACACTAGCCTTAAAAGGTGCCGCTTCTCTGTGTCTTGTAACTAATGCTCTTGGTAGCTAAAGACTCTTTGTGGTTGCTTCTGTGGTGTTTAAGTGGTGTCTTGTGTTTGTATTTGTGTCTCTTTTCCTTCTATGTGTTCTACAAATCTCAAGATTGACCTAAAGGCATTTTTGAAGTCAGGGACTCAATTAAGGAATTTAGGATCAGTTTTAGCTTGACAATGTGTCATAGGTCATAGTCAGGTTTAGTATCAAATGTGTTTGATTAACGCAGTTAGGCTGTAGGAGAAAAGAAGAAATATATAAAATGAGATAAAAAAATGTAAGAATCCAACTTACATTTTTCCGGAGCTGTTACAATTGGCTGAACTACTACGATTTACTTTCCATACAGTATGTTTCCATTCATGTTTTTTTTCTTCTTCTAGAGTTACCAAAATTGCATGATAATCACTAGCTATACACCAAATACACATCTGTTTCAGTTACTGTCAATTATCTACACATACCTCCAAATAGCTAACATTATAGCATTACAGGGCACAAGAAAGCCAGTGAAGAGTCTTTTTACTCATGTGCTCGGTTGAAGATAGCATTTTCTTCCTAATGTGAATGTGACTTTGCCTGGCCATCCTTGCACGGCCTGTCCACTCATGGCTCTCCTGCTGTTGTGGTGGCATTTACAGTAGATCTACAGGATGAAGCCGAAAGGAAGGAGGAACGATTGGAAATAATAGCCGACCACCTGGGCTTCAGTTGGATGGGTGAGTGGAACCCCAGGCATGTTGGCATTCCAAGAGTGTCAGAGACGATAAAGGATGACGATAATGTTGATTTAAACACTTCCCAGTGGTTCTTGAAGAATGTTAACATTAACGTTGCATAGTTAACAGTGAAAAGTGTCATATAAGTGTCATAGGTTGCTATTCTCAACAACAACAACAACAAAAATATTTGATCAGCCAGATGTTTCCAGAATTGGGTGATTATCATCAATCCTTTAAAAAACAATATCATAATATCTGTCTTTGTTCTGGTGGGTTTTCTAGAGCTGGCTCGGGAGCTGGAGTTGAGTGAGGAGAGGATCAATCTAATAAGAATTGAGAACCCCAACTCACTACAGGACCAAAGCCACGCCCTGCTGAAGCTCTGGACTGACAGGGATGGCAAACATGCCACAGGTATGCTGATATATCACTCCTTAATGTATTATGAATATTTATTATTGATAATTGTAATATTTTCCTTATGGCTTATTTACTGTTATGATCTTTGTTATTATGTTATTATTTCTATACACAGAAACTACACTGATCAAACGACTCACCAAGATCAACAGAATGGACATTGTTCATCTCATCGAAACCAAGATAATGAAGTCCACCCAGGAGGACGCATCATCCCACACCTATGCAGAGATTGAGAGGACCATTGCAATGGATCACAGTGAAGGTATAGTGTACAGTCGTGGTCAAAAGTTTTGAGAATGACACAAATACTAATTTTCACAAAGTCTGCTGCCTCAGTTTTGATGATGGCAATTTGCATATACTCCAGAATGTCATGAAGAGTGATCAGATGAATTGCAATTAATTGCAAAGTCCCTCTTTGCCATGAAAATGAACTTAATCCCCCAAAAACATTTACACTGCATTTCAGCCCTGCCACAAAAGGACCAGCTGCCATCATGTTAGTGATTCTCTCGTTAACACAGGTGAGAGTGTTGACGAGGACAAGGCTGGAGATCACTCTGTCATGCTGATTGTGTTAGAATAACAGACTGGAAGCTTTAAAAGGAGGGTGGTGCTTGAAATCATTGTTCTTCCTCTGTTAACCATGGTTACCTGCAAGGAAACATGTGCCGTCATCATTGCTTTGCACAAAAAGGGCTTCACAGGCAAGGATATTGCTGCTAGTAAGATTGCACCTAAATCAACCATTTATCGGATCATCAAGAACTTCAAGGAGAGAGGTTCAATTGTTGTGAAGAAGGTGTCAGGGCGCCCAAGAAAGTCCAGCAAGCACCAGGACCGTCTCCTAAAGTTGATTCAGCTGCGGGATCGGGGCACCACCAGTGCAGAGCTTGCTCAGGAATGGCAGCAGGCAGGTGTGAGTGCATCTGCACGCACAGTGAGGCGAAGACTTTTGGAAGATGGCCTGGTGTCAAGAAGGGCAGCAAAGAAGCCACTTCTCTCCAGGAAAAACATCAGGGACAGACTGATATTCTGCAAAAGGTACAGGGATTGGGCTGCTGAGGACTGGGGTAAAGTCATTTTCTCTGATGAATCCCCTTTCCGATTGTTTGGGGCATCAGGAAAACAGCTTGTCCGGAGAAGACAAGGTCATGCCAACAGTAAAGCATCCTGAGACCATTCATGTGTGGGGTTGCTTCTCAGCCAAGGGAGTGGGCTCACTCACAATTTTGCCTAAGAACACAGCCATGAATAAAGAATGGTACCAACACATCCTCCGAGAGCAACTTCTCCCAACCATCCAAGAAAAGTTTGGTGACGACCAATGCCTTTTCCAGCATGATGGAGCACCTTGCCATAAGGCAAAAGTGATAACTAAACATCTATATTTTGGGTCCATGGCCAGGAAACTCCCCAGACCTTAATCCCATTGAGAACTTGTGGTCGATCCTCAAGAGGCAGGTGGACAACCAAAAACCCACAAATTCGGATAAACTCCAAGCATTGATTATGCAAGAATGGGCTGCCATCAGTCAGGATGTGGCCCAGAAGTTAATTGACAGCATGACAGGGCGGATTGCAGAGGTCTTGAAAAAGAAGGGTCAACACTGCAAATATTGACTCTTTGCATAAACTGAATGTAATTGTCAATAAAAGCCTTTGACATTTATGGAATGCTTGTAATTATACTTCAGTATACCATAGTAACATCTGACAACAATATCTCATTACACTGAAGCAGCAAACTTTGTGAAGACCAATACTTGTGTCATTCTCAAAACTTTCGACCACGACTGTACTACCAACCAAAATGGAAATGTCCTATGTTTACCGTCATGAGACAGTAAACCTCATGTCATCTTTATCAACCAAAATGTACTAACTATGCCAAAGAGATCACAGGTTAATAACGGTGTCCATATCTATGCCTGTCCAGGTTTCTCTGCCCTCCATGAGGACATAGACAGTCCCCGGCCAGGCAGGCGTACAGACGGCACCCCCAGTGGGCCAGGGTCCAGGCAGGGGCCCTTCATGGTGTCAGAGGAGGACCTCTCCTCCAGCATGTCATCACTGCATGAGACATCAGGGCGGGTAGAGATAGACACTTCAGTAACAGGCCTCCTGAAACACGCCCAGAAGGAGAAGCTGCAGAAAGAGCTGGAGATGACACAGTAAGTTGATCAGTCAGTATAAGAGTGAAGTATTGAGTGAAAGAGAAATTGGTATGGTTAAAAAGGTCTTATGTTGTTTTCTGCTATGTTCTGCTAATGGTGTATGGTTGTAGAAACAAACAGTTCAGTCAAATAATCGTGATTTGCATTGTTAAAATCAATAGGAATAAACTGTTTTTAAGAATAACTGTGTGTTATTTTTGCTGGGAGACTTCAAATGTGATTAGATGTTTGACTTCATGTTACTTTTTGTTCCTCAGTTCTGTGGGCGGTACACCACAGAGTGGATCGGAGAAGGCTGAGTCACTACACATGGGCACTTTTAAACAAGTAAGTCCCTTCTTCACCTTGTACCGCACCTCCCCCTACCAGCTCACCTCTCACGTCCTAGATCCTGTCTACAACGGGCCCACCCCTCCCCCCTCCCCCTCTCTATCTGTCAAGCATTCTGAGAAGGGGGCACAGCGGGGTGCAGAGTGGGGTGAGGGGTCACTCCAGCCCCCCCAGGCAGAAAGCGACAACAAAGAGTCAACGAATGACCAAGAGTCACCCACTAAAAGTAGTAAGCGTGTCTGTGAGAACCGTCCGTTGTCCATGACCGACTTCGGGGACAGTCTGACTGAATGTGACCAGGCCGAGCCAGACTTCAGTGAGCTGTCTGTGGAGCTAAAGCAAACCTCAAAGTACTACACTTACCTCTCCACCACGCCCGTCACTATGACCTCTCAGACAACTGAACGTGTTTCTGAGAAGATCAGTGTTACAGCCAAGCCTATGAATTTACCACTTCCTCAGTCTACTCAGCTTCCTCAGGCTTCTGAGGTGGTACGCCCCAAAGAGACATGTGAGATATTCTCAGAGGATCATATTGACGAGGTGTCACACCGACTTTACGAAGTCCTGTTTGGATATGTAGAGGAGTCAACTAGTGAAGAATCCAAAAAAACACCAATGGAATTGGATGAGGTAGCCGGAACTTACAGAGCCAGCCGGGTTTATGCAGCAGATTCCCCTACCTCCATGCTTTTGATTGATGTAGACCAGGCTACTCTTGACCAGGAAGCTATCTCCACTGAGCTACACCTCAGCCCTGTAGATATCAGTCCCATTACCCTAGAGTCTATCACCTTTGGGGTGGGTAAGGAATCACAGACAATAGCTCAGACATCATCAGACGTGTCAAGAACCACTCAGATTTCGGAGTCGGTCCCAGTAGAATCCATTGTCAGCACTGCATTTATCCAGATGTCACATGACTCAACTGCTGAGACCCCAGGAGAGGTGTCAGCTCCTCCAGTGTCTGACTCCAAATCAGCCAAATCTGTTATAACTGGTGTAGAGTACAGCTTTGAGATAACCTTACCTGAACATAAGCCTTCAAGTCAGGAGGGAGCCTCTAATACAGTCTCATCCGAGTTAGCCATGCCTTTATCCCCTGACTCAGCATCTGAGTATGCTACTAAATTTGTAGTGCATGATCGATCATCTTTGCCAGAGTCAGTGACATCAGATGATAGGTCTGGGTCCCAATCAACTGACTCACATATACCCGAGTATCGCCCGTCAACACCTGATTCATCCATACAGTTGACTGAGAGTAGAGCCTCATCTCCCGAGTCACTGTCTTCCGATACTGAACTAAGTCTTCTCTTGCCTGGCTCGCCCATACCTCAGTTTAGACCCCTGTCTCCTCTACCGCCCCCTGAGGTTGAATGGGAAACTGCAGAATTACCACCTTATGACCCAGGACGAATATTCCTAAGTGCCCCTGGAGCTGCATGTAGTCTACTAGCACCAGAGCTAGCAGATGCAGAGGACAGGCCCTTGACACCTATGGTTCCTAACAGGGGAGAGTTTGCCAGAGCGATATCCCCGGGCAGTGAGTATTTAGAGAAGAGTGCATCATCACCTGAATCTACTGGATCAGTCAATGAGCATAGATCACTATCCCCTGATTCTCCCATACCTGAGTTTAGACAGCCATTACCTGAATCGGTTATCTCCACTACAGGGTGTAGGTCATATTCACCTGAATCAGAGACTTCAGAGACTTCAGTGACTTCAGAATCTGAATGTATACTATTGGGGGCTTTTGCCTTTTGGCAGAGACCAGACTCACCTGAGTTAATAGTATCAGATACAGAGGAAAGACCCCTGTCAGCTGAGTCTTTATCAGAGTATAGACCCATGTCACCTACATCACTGATGTTACTGAACGATATCAAAGCATCATCACCTGGATCTACAGGATCAGTAGATGAACACAGATCTCTGTCTCCAGATTCACCAATTCCACAATTTTGGCAATCGGAACCCATTGCTTTAGTGAAGATTTGTAGATCATCATCATCTGAATCTATATTTTCAGATATAGATTATGAAACTGCACCATTACTTTCATTACTTTATAAGGAGAGACCTTCATCACCTGAATCAATAGCATCAATAGATGAATATAGAGCGCTATCACCTGACTCACCTATACCTCAGTTTTGGCACATATTACCAGACTCTATTGTTGATCATAGATCTTCTTCACCTGAATCAGTATCATCAGACACTAAATATGTTCCAATGTCTCTGCAGTCTATAGGTACAGAGCATAGATCAGATTCACCTGAAGCTTTAGACTTTGAAAATGAGATAACGTATTCAGCATTGACTAAATCGAAATCCTCTAAACCCCTTGTTTCTCCATCTGTGACCAAAGTGAAGTTGCCAAAATCTACGACACTTGTTCCAGAAAATGACAAATTGACAGCAGAATCACTTGACACTATTGAACCTAACCCTGTAATGTCAGAACCTGCTAATTCAACAGACATGCAAAATATACAGCTAGATATACAGCGGTCTACTGAAAAGGGCAAAACAAAACTCAATCCATCGTCAACAAAAAAACGAAAATCAAAGTCCTCCGAAACTGAGGCAGCATCTGAATCAGTGACCGAAATTCCTGCTGTAAAACCGTTATCTGAGTCTGTATTACATTTTACAAACCAACCTCCAACAAAACCTGAAGAAGTTGTAACTGCACCTAAACCAGCAAAACCTGAATCTCATGAAGGTCTATCAGCAAATAGTGATGTAGCTCAACCTTCAGAAGATCAAGACATGGTACTATGTGTGTCACCAATAACTGTAACTGAATCAGGTATAAATGTCCCTGAACGTCCACCAATATTAACCGAGTCCGCAACTGCACCATTACTTGAATTTAGTCAACCTGAACCTCAAAAAGGACTATCAGTACCTGACTTAGCTCAACCTTCATCTGTGTCACCAATAACAGTATCTGAATCAGGTATACATGTCCCTCCATCAGCAATACTAGTGCCAGAATACAGACTTGTGTATGATGCAGAGCTTTGGAAGCTTATCTCTCAAATAAATGACCCACAATATGTAGGAGAAACTGACTGTAGTAAAACAGGTGTGTTTGAGTATGCTGGACAAGGAATAGAGTATGAAGAGACAACCGAACCTGAAAACAAATCGTTGTCAATAGATTCTCCAGTTGAGGAGTCGGACTCTAAGCCTGAGTCATTATCAGAGTATAGACCCATGTCATCTTCGTCACTAATGTTGTTGAAGGATATTAAAACAACATCCCCTGGATCAACAGGAACAATGAATAGATCATTATCACCAGATTCCCCTGTACCCAAATATTCACCATTGTTCTGTGAAGCTGTTCAGTTTCAACATAGATCATCGTCACCTGAATCGTTACCAGATGATGAGGTTTCTGAGATATTTGATTCAAGATTTGCAGCTATTGAAAATAGACCCTTATCACCTGAGTCAACTGGTTCAGTCAGTGAGCATAGCTCACTTTCAAAAGACCAAGACATGGTACCTTGTGTGTCACCAGTAACAGTAACTGAATCAGGTGTAGATGTCCCTGAAAGTCCACTAATAATATTCAACTCCACACCCCAATTATTTCCTGAATCGAGTAAACCTGAAACTCAGAAAGGACTGTCAGTACCTGATTTAGCCCAAACTCCAAAAGAACCATCTGTGTCACCAATAACAGTATCTGATGAAGGTATACATGTCCCTCCATCAGTAATAAGAGTGCCAGTTTACAAACTTAAGTACGATGCAGAGCTTTGGAAGCTGGTCTCTCCAATACATGATCCCCAGTATGTAGGGGAAACCCCTAAAACTGGTATGTTTGAGTATGCTGAGAGTATCATAGAGTATGTGCAGACAGCAGAAAGAGAAAATCAAACTTCATCAACTGAGGTTACCGAGGACAGACCACTCTCACCTGATTCTGAGTCTGAATATACACTCTCACCTGAGTCAGTTAAGATAATGTCTGCTTTGAGATCAGATTCGTCAGAGTCAGTGAAGTCATTGAAAGCATGCCAATCTTCATCCCCAGATTCCCCCATACCCCAATATTCACTATTCTTCCTTGAAACTGCTCAATCATATCATAGATCATTGTCACCTGAATCAGTATCTGATGCTGAAGTTGAAGTAGTTGACTCAAAATATTCAATAGTTCTGGGTATTGACACTAGAACTTCCTCTCCTGAATCTATAGGATCAGTCAATGAGCATAGACCACTGTCCCCTGACTCTCCCATACCTGAGTTTAGACAGGCATTACCTGAATCTGCTTTCTCAACTACAAGGTCATCATCACCTGAATCAGTGACTTCGGGTACTTCAGAAATTGAATATATACTATCTGAGGCATTTGCCTTATGGCAAAGACCAGACTCACCTGAATCAATAGCATCTGTAGATAAATACAGGGCACTGTCACCTGATTCACCCATACCTGAGTTTAGACAGGTGTTACCTGAATCTGCTATTTCAACTATTGGGTACAGGTCATCATCACCTGAATCAGTTGATTCAGATATTGAATATACACCCCTAATTTCTGAGTCGGTCTTTGATGAGAAAAGACCAGACTCACCTGATTCAATAATATCAGATACAGAGGAAAGACCCCTATCACCTGAGTCTTTATCAGAGTATAGACCCATGTCACCTGAATCAGTCATGCTACTGACAAACATCAGATCATCTTCTCCTGAATCTACAGCATCAGTGGATGAGTATAGATGTCTGTCTCCAGACTCTCCTCTACCACAATACCTACAATATTTCCCAGAACCAACTCTGTTTATGTCAGGATACAGGTCAGCGTCACCTGAATCAATATGCTCAGATATGGAATATGAAACAGAGTTATTCTTATATGCCTCAATGCTTTTTGAGGATAGACCCTCATCACCTGAATCAATAGCATCTGTAGATGAATACAGGGCACTATCACCTGAGTCACCCATACCTGAGTTCAGACAGGCAATACCTGAATTTGTTACATCTTCTGTATATAGATATAGATCATCATCACCTGAATCAGTGATTTCAGGCACTTCCGAAATGGAATACATACTATCTGAGACTTTGGCATTTTGGCAGAGACCAGACTCACCTGAATCTACAGCATCAGTGGATGAGTATAGATGTCTGTCTCCAGACTCTCCTGTACCACAATACCTACAATATTTCCCAGAACCAACCATATTTATGACAGGAAGCAGATCCTCATCACCTTCATCAGTATTGTCAGATGAGGAATTTGAAAGTGAGTTATTATTTTGTGCCTCAACGCTTTTTGAGGATAGACCCTCATCACCTGATTCAATAGCATCTATAGATGAATACAGGGCGCTATCACCTGAGTCACCCATACCTGAGTTTAGACAGGCATTAAGAGAGTCTATCGTTTCAATGATTGGATATAGGTCCTCATCCCCTGAATCATTGACAGATTATGAAACAGAGTCTGAATCAGAATACACTCCTCTGATTTCTGAGATTGAAGATAGACCAGACTCTCCTGATTCAACGGCATCAGTAGATGAGTTTAGAGCTCTGTCACCAGACTCCCCAGTACCCCAGTACACACAGCACGAAACTACTACACTAGTGACCGGGAATAGATCAGCATCGCCTGAATCAATATGCTCAGATATGGAATCTGAAACAGAGTTATTCTTATATGCCTCAATGCTTTTTGAGGATAGACCCGCATCACCTGAATCAATAGCATCTGTAGATGAAAACAGGGCACTGTCACCTGATTCACCCATACCTGAGTTTAGACAGATTTTACCTAAATCTGCTTTTTCAACCATTGGATACAGATCATCGTCACCTGAATCAGTTGATTCAGATATTGAATATACACCACTCATTTCTGAGTCAGTCTTTGATGAGAAGAGACCAGACTCACCTGAGTCAATAATATCAGATACAGAGGAAAGACCCCTATCACCTGAGTCTTTATCAGAGTATAGACCCATGTCACCTGAATCAG